GTCACAAAAGGATTATTCATTTAATTACTAAAAAAAGAAATACTGCATTTCTGATTCTAGAACATTTTTAAGTATCAAAAAATAAGGAAGTCAAAAAAGAAATATCACTTAATCTCCATCACTCTAAGTCAAACAGTTTTAACATGAAGGCATATTTACTTCTAATCTTTTTTCCATGCCTGCCACAATGGAGGGACATTCCTTCTTGAGCCCTACAGGGAGAGACATTTCCTAAAAGTAGCATTTTCTAATGTGTGCTGGAGGAATAGTAGTCCTGCTAGATGCTCAAAATACAAAATAAAACAAAGAAACCACAATGTGGTTCTATGGTCATGCAATGCACAATCATCTATTCCTTGAGAGCTTTTAATGCACATGACCACAACAAAAACTCAGAGAAGTCCAGTTTAACACTTCTTAACTCCCATTTCCCAAAATTACATGATTACACAACTCTTAGGATCTACGGTGCACAATCAACGAAACACTCCTTTGAAGAGAGTGGACACTCAGATGGTGGTGCAGTGGTAACACCCAATAGTATGAAACAGAGGCTACATATTAAGCAACTTTGAAAACCTCAAGTTAAATGGATTTCAGGTTCAGTTTCTTACATCATTTCCCAACCCTTAAATACATCTAGTAGGTCCCAAATTAAAGAGATTTTGTAAACTAAGAAAAGATGTGTTCATCACTCACCAGCCATATGATTGGCATCAGCAGTGTCCATATAAAAGGAGGTAGAATTCCATATGTCAAATTGGTCAGTACTACACCTGGGCACACCACACTGGAATACAGACCCTGGGAGCACAGAGAGGGGTAGCAATAAGATATTAATTCAATGTATATTGACTCGGTCCAGCTATATGCTAATTAATAAGAGGTACACATATGAACCAGGAAACCAGGAGATAAAGAATTTATACTCCGAGTTATCCTCGAAGTTGGATAGATCATTTCAGTTTAAGAATCATTGTACTAAGAACCCACTAGAAAAGGCACTCAGGGTGTACAAATTAGTAAGACAAAGTCTCTATTCTCAAGAAACTTGCAATATAAAGAATAACCAACCTTAAAATGGGGGGAGAAAAGTAGGGCCTGATTAACTGAGTTTTCCATGTTGTTGGCTTATTTGAAGATCAGTTTATCAATCACAATAAGCACATAAAATAAAAAGATGTATCCTTGCCTTTAAGAAATTTCTGATCTAATAAACAGACAGCTAAATCTAAACTTATGTGTCTGTTTCCATGCATAAGACCCATACCTCTGGCCTAAAAGCTACATAAGATAGTCAGAGCAAGTATCATACCAAATGCGGAAAAACCAAAGGCCTTTCCTCTTAGATCTGGAACAAGACAAGGATGTCCACTTTTACCACTGTTATTCAACATAGTACTGAAAGTTCTAGCTAGAGCAATCGGATAGGAGAAAGAAACAAAGGGCATCAAAATTAGAAAGGAAGAAGACAAATTATCCTCCTTTGAAGACTATATAATCTTGTATCTAGAGAAACCTAAAGACTCCACAAAAACCTATTAGAAATGATAAATAAATTCAGTAATACAAAATCAACATACAAATATCAATTACTGTTAGCATTTTTACCTACCGACAGTAAACAATGTGACAAAGATACCAAGAAAGTAATCTCATTTAAAATAGCTACAAATAAAATAAAATACCTAGGAATAATCTTAATCAAAGAAGTGAAAGATCTCTATAATGAACACTTTTTTATATTTATATAAAAATGTTCTTACATTTATAACAACATGGATGGAACTGAAGAATATTATGTTAAGTGAAATAAGCCAAGCACAGAAAGACAAATCTCACATGTTCTCACTTATATGTGGGAGCTAAATATTAAAAACAATTGATCTCGTGGAGACAGAGTATAGACTGATGGTTACCAGAGGCTGGAAAGGGGAGCGGGGAGGGGAGATAAAGTAGAGATGGTTAATGTGTACACAAATATAGTTAGATAGTTAGAATGAACAATATTTGATAGCACAACAAAGTGACTATAATCAACAATAAGTTAGGGTATACTCTAAAATAACTAAAACAGTGTAATTGGAATGTTCCTAACACAAAGAAATGATAAATGACTAAGATGATGTATACTCCAATTACCCTGATTTGATTAACCCACATTGTATGCCCGCATCAAAACATCACATGTACCCTACAAAGATATACAACTATTAATATTATGTACCCATAAAAACTAAAACTAAAAATAAAATAAATAAAATAATTATAGGGAATTAATCATGATGATCCCAAGTATTTCTTTCTCTATGGCTTCTGTGGGGGATCATTAACAATGATTAAAATCTATCAGGTAGCCTATACAGAACCTGACGACATTGCTAGTAATACAAGGCTTCTAAAGGAATCCCCCAATGTAGTTCTTTTTTAGCTGCTTTATATTCTCACAAAAGCCAATAGGTTGAAGAACCAATCCCAACAGAGTTTAGCAGCACTAGCTAAATCTCCCTTTTTTGTAAAAGGTGAAATCCCAAACCTTATTTGATGAGCGAAACTTAAAATAAAATCCCATGGCTTTTTATGGAAGAAGTTAATCTACTCTGACTTTGTCCCCTAAAAGGAAGTTTCTAGAGTACCAGGAAGCTATTGAGACAAATTTTTAAACATCTGAAGAAACTTCAGAAGGAGCCTACACACTGAGCCCAAGCTGTAATAATAACAGCCAACACATGAACACACACACGAGAACATGCACACACATGTGCAGAACACATGAACACACCCCACATATATACTCACATTTTACACATGTCCACATACCCACAAAACCCATACATGTACATATGTACCCCCACATGTGTGCATGCATATATGCATACATCCCTACACTCATCCACACACACGTGTACACACACTCACATTCTGAGCACAAAGCACTGCTGTGACTGTTTCATCTCAATCTCCTCATTCAATCCTCCCAACAAATCTGTGAGGGAGGCACTAATATTTTCCCTATTTTCAGATGAGGAAACTGAGGCATAGGGAGATTAAATAATTTTCCTAAGATTGAAAGCTAATGACAGAGCCAGCATTCAAATCCAGTTCTAGAGAGTATGCTCTTAGCTTCTACTTTATACCACCCCCTTACTAAGAGGCATGATCACAGAAGAATTCCATCTGATAAAGGTCTTCATTCCAGAATAAGCACGGTCTAGACTCACATAAGGTTTAGATTTCTATGTCTAATTCATGATCAAAAAAGCTTCCTTGAAGGAAGACACAGTTTCTTGATTGATCATCTTTTTATTTCACCTTCCTCCTCAATCCTAAGCCTGGCCCAGTGCCCTAAACATGGTAGGTCGTTCATAAATGTTAATGGAATTAAAGTGCTCCAGAGCCCCTTACTCATATAACATAGTTAGTCAAAGCAAACAAAAGAAAATGACCTTGGGAAAGCCTGGAGATTTTCAGTTAAGATTTATACCTGGGCAACAGAGACATACAAAGAAGCAGTAAATTACAGAGCACAATGGCCACAAGAAGCCAGCATAACTAACAAGGGTCACCTTCTCCAAAGAAACACCCTCTACACCCGGATCCTCATAGAGATAGAGTTCTGGAGTCTCACCTAAAATCACCACTATCCAGGAAGCTTTAAAACTACTGACTATCCTACAGACATCTGACTAGGAGGCAGTGTGGGTCAGTGGAAAAAGTCCAAGTCATAAAGTCAGACAGCCCTGGACTCAACTATCAGCTCTACCATTCACAGGCTGTGTGATCTTCCAGTAAATGACCTCACTTCTCTGAGCTTTAGTGTCCTCATTTGAAAACGGGAATACTCAGACCTACCTCACTATAACAAGGAAAGTATTAAATAACATACACAGATAAAGAGTACATACAGCACCTGAAATGTAGCAAGTACTTAAACAGTAGCTATTGTTATTTTTAGTAGTGTCATTCTGTTACTATAAATTAGAATTCCTGGAAAACTAAAGAATGGTGAACTAACTACATCTATCCAAAAGGTTAGGAGCTAATTATCTCTCCCCTAAAACTTTTATATACACCAACCATCAATCTAAACTACAACAGGTAGTGGGAAGCCAGCCGAGTTACTAGGAAATCAACTGTAGTTCATTAGAGGCCCCTGCCTTGCCATTTCCATATCACCGAGACAGGCCTTACCCGCTGGTTGAAGTTCCTGTTCAACGCCACATTCAGAAGGTCAGTGGCATATTTGGAAGAGGCGTAAGGTTCCTGGCCTTTGCTGTGCTGGAAGTCCTCAAGGCTGAAAAGAGATTTCTTTGCGTTGCGAGATGACGTCCAGATGAGCTGAGATGGACTGTCGCTGTGACAGAGGAGAGGTTCCAGTTCCCGAATCTGAGTGGAAGAAAAAAAAGAACAAGAAGTATCAGAATATGCTGGCAGATTAAATAATGATTCTGAAGCCACTATACATGTATACTAAACTTGAATAATTAAGTAAAGAGATGGAGGATGATGGAAGCCAGGTTTGTCACTGTTGAAGTGGGACACCACAGACAAGAAAGGAGAGGAGGCTAGAATGAGCCAGATGGTCATAGATTAGGGTTAGAGACATCAGTATGAATTCATGTGCAGCTTAACAGAAATATAAGTTAGTTACACAAAAATATTTACATATATGTACACATACATGAGTTAGTATGCACATATATATCTCCTTGGTCTGTTAGCGGAGAGGGCCTAGAAATTGATATCTCAATAGCAACGAGTACCCAGATCCTGGTTTCTAATAACCATTCTCCGACAAAAGGAACCAGGACTTCTTAGAAAAAAGGATAATGCTAGGACTGAGGCAGGAAATATACAAGATGATCTGAAGCATTGTGCAGTGTCAGAAAGTAAGAAAGTACTCAAAACGAAAACTAAAACAAAACCAGAAACCATAATGATGGGACATATGTCAAAGAGATACAGAAGCCAACTGAATGAGCTCCCAGCAGCCAAAACTGGAACAATTTGAGCAAAAAAAGTAAAGTAGTATTTGTGACTTCAAAGTAGAAAATACGTATCCATGGGTCCACATGGATATAATAAATAATTGAATAAAGAAATAAATGGAGACTAGACAAATCTCCCTTGCAGAAAAATTCCAAATAATTTCTACAGATAATCCACCCTTAAGGAGATGGAGTGTAATTCCATAAATGAGGGCTACACACAGTGACTTTCTTCCAAAGAGCACAGTATGAAAAGGCAGAAGGAAAGACACACAGTAACTTTCTTCCAAAGAGCACAGTATGAAAAGGGAGAAGGAAAGACACACAGTAACTTTCTTCCAAAGAGCACAGTATGAAAAGGGAGAAGGAAAGAGTAGCTTCAGAATGGAGAAACCTGACAAATATTGCCTCAAGCCCCGTGATCAAGGTTAACATCAACACTGCTAAGTCATGTTGATAGTATATACTCTTGATAGGACATCATGAGAACGGCACTTTACCTTGGTGGTCTTCCTCCCAAAAACACTTCTCCAGTCTAACCAGGAGAGAAATACCAGACAAATCCCAACTGAGGGAGTCTACACAATACTTGAGCAGTAATTCTCAAAACTGTCAAGGTCATCAAAAACAAGAAAAGTCTGAGAAACTGTTACAATCAAGAAGAGCCTAAGGACACCAGACTGCTAAATGTACCGTGGTATCTTGGATGGGATTCTGAAAAAGGACATTAGGCAAAAACTGAGAAACTGAATAGAGCATAGACTTTAGTTACCAATAATGTATCAGTACTGGTTCATCTATTTTGATAAATGTACCATACTAATGCAAGAAGTTAGTAAGAGGGGAAACTGGGTGTAGGGTATACAGAAACTCTCTATACTATCTTTGCAATAATTCTGAAAATCTAAAACTATTCTAAAACAATAAGTTTCTTGAAGAAAGATCTACTAGGAAAGTTTCCAAATGTGCTCCATGCTTGCAATGAACAATAAGACAAATGCAATCAAGAAAACTCGTAAACGTGAGATTGAATCAGTTATAGTTGAAGAACTATAATAATGCACTGTGCCTGGAACTTTACAGTCATTATCTAAGTATTGGCTTATTAAGACCAAAGCCTTTTTACCAGGATAAAGTGGCCAAAGACATTGGTTTCAAACACCTCCTGGAGCCCATCGGCAGTGATTTTTTCATCCTGGGTCAGCAGTCCTTCAGCTGTGGAGAACATATGAATCACTTTTCTGAAACAGCAGAAGACAGTTGTGAAGACAATTGTATGACTTTTTAAAGCTTCTTTAACCGAAGCTAATGAAGAGATACTCTGACCCATCCCCACCCACAAACTACACCTTCCTTGATTCTGTAATGACAGGAATAACAATATCTATTTCTCAGACTAAGATTGTCATAGTAAATGAAATACAAAAATGTTTCTTTTCCTCCAATTCACAGAAGTACTTACATACTTGTAGCTCACACTACCAATAGGAAGCTGAGTCTCTCAAAGGCTTGCTGTTAAAACTCTCCTCACCTCTTTCCAAATCAGTTACACGTAAAATGTTCTGGGGGAACAATAGCTATGCCAAGGGTAAAAAGTCTTCCCTTGCACAGAGTATGTTTAATTGCTGAAAGGGTTTTTTGGTTTTTTTTTAAACTGGGAATTCTTAAAGCATTGAACATATTAATATGGTGTTTTGCTGTGAGATCAGTTTAGTAGTATGTCAAGACCAGCGTGGAATTTGTGTGTGTGTATTTTATTGGAAGAAAGGTAAAGCAAAAGGAGCAGTGGGTTGCCAGATAAAACGTATTTCTTATTCTACGTTGTAATTCAACATTTCTGAAAGCCACTACACTAATGTGTACTGAAAGTCTCCCAGGGAGACATTAGTCCTCTACATTTCTCCAACCTACTGCTCAGAATACCTTACATACAACTGGGAAACTGGTCCAGCTTTCCCGGGTATTGGAGTCTCTCTGAGAATCCTAATTTAGAAATCTTCTTGCCAATAGGTACAATCAGGCAGACCAAAAATTGACCTTCCAAAATATCCAACCACTTAGAATGTCCTGGAGACCTAGAGCACCATAAGAACCAGGACTTGCAGTGTTCCCCACAAAAGAGGAATGTTTTTCTTTCATGGCAAGGTTGCAACACCATCTTTCTATGTCTTCATCCTTCTCAACACCCCCTTACCTTTCATCCCCTAACTTAACAGACTGAGAGCAAAACTAGGCAGAAAAATGAACACCTTCCTCCCAATCAATTCATCTAGAAAGTGGAAATTACCTTGAAAAGAGGCCAGAGAAAAGTGCTCTGATATTTAGCTGTGGATTAGGCATGATCCCAGCATTTAGATATACAAAGTCCAATCTCTGAAACCTGAAAATGAAACACCAAAACAAGATTGTGAGTTGCAAGGAGAGCACCCAGACAAGACTGTGTATTCTATCTCCCAAACAACGAGGAGAAAGAAAGCCTGAGAGAGACAGAAAATACTTTCTCAACCAATAAGATGGCCACAGCGAGCAACAAAGAATTTATAATACATAAGGGTTACAATAGTTCTTTCTCAACAATTTTTCTTTAGCCACAGTAAATATTTTAGTCTTCTTATGCTTTTCCTTCAAAGAGAATTTGGGGAGCCATAAAGGGCTTTGAAGTCAAATCTCTAATCAATAATTCCTTCTAGATTTGTCCTCCCAATCAGGCACTGCAGTAACCCTCTGTCTATTAAACCTGCTCTCCTCTGCTCTTAGAAAGTTTTTGTGTTTTGTTTCAATTCACATCTCCCCTAGTTGACAAGTAAAATTTATATAATATTAATATTCACTGGACTCGATCTATCAATGCTGAAATCTGAATGCTAAGATATCTACTAAAACAAAAGATCCATGTAGAAACCTTTCAATATTCATGGACAGGTGCTATGTATCATAAAATGATGAGAATACACAAAAATACAATGAGAGTATAAAAGGTGAATGGGGTAAGGTATTCTTGGTAGGCTCCCTCCAGAATATTTGTCCTGGAAGGAATTGTGAAATGCTGACTTGAGAAAACTTTTTTATTTTTAAGCCTACATAAGCCTTAATCTCCACTTTTAAACTAGGTTCAGGACAGGTAGAGCCTACTTTCATGATGTAGACACCATAAATATTCAGAATATCTCCTACAATTCAATGCATTACACTGTCTCTGTCCTCTGTATAACCCAAGATAAGAAGGGCCATAGCTACTAAAGCTAGGACTTTGAAATATATACCCGGTTACCAATACGGATCACACACAAACAGTGCTTGATCATCCTATAAATAATTAACTGCCAAATGACCCTCTCTAATTAGTAAATTGACTGTTTAAGATGCTGATATTGTTACCATCAGTTAATCATTTAAGTGCCACAGAGACAGTGTGGGTCCATCTATTGTTGGTTGTTTCATTATCTAATTTGCAAACTTTCATCTAAGAATATTAACATATTTGGCTAGGAATGGAGAGAAAACATTTAGCAAAGACACCAAATTAAGCACTGTCTTCAGTAAAATGACATACTACTCTCAAAGATGAAATAATTTACGCAATTGCTCTATTCTAGATAAAAGAGAATCACTATTTCTTATTAGTTTTTATCTGTACATAGTACAGAGTATTATAGATGAAAAGACCAGGTGTCAGGGATGATGTTGCTGCTTTAGCCATTGGAAGGCATCCTTCTCAAGCTCTCTTCAGCTCTAATTTACTTCAGATCTAGAATCGAAGAGATCTATTTGGGCCACTGCAGTAGAGCCCGAGGGATCTATCCGGACACCTCGACATATTCCCAAATTTGTGAATATCATTACAACTATCATTTCCTAAATTTGGATAATACCACCCATCTCAAAGAAAGCTGTTTTGTGAAGTAAATAAACACATCAAAGCTGCACTAAAACGCTGAGGAGAGTAGCTGGGACAATGCATTTTTACCTGGAGTGTTCCCTTCTGCCCCACAGACTCACTGCTGTGAATTGGTACTAAATTACTAAATATATTTCTAAATACTAAATTACCAGATCTGTGATAAAGTACTATCAAATATCTTGAAACTTTGGAGGCAAGTGAGAATAGTCAGAGCTATAAATGTCAAAACTTTCACTGTCAAAAGTCAACTGTGTTAGAATGGGCTATTATTAACTGGGAATGAAGGATCTTTTCTGCCAAATAAGAAAATATAACTAAATTTCTACAAAGCAGGTAAAAAGGCAGCTAGCTAAGAAGGTTTGGGGAAAGAATGTAAACATGATTTGAAACCTATACTTCTCTTCTGACTTTATGGTTTTTAACTCCATAAGGACATTTATTTATGCTTCATGGTCTTGGAGACCTTTAAGTTATAGAAGAGTAAGGGATGTGGAACACATCACAATTTCTTTGAAAATGAAACCTAGAAAATCTTGGCTTTTTTAGAAAGATAGTATGGCAGAAAAGTCTATGAGCTTAGCAGTAGAGGAGAGAGAAACCACATTTACAAAGGGCTAAGGCCACAATGAGAAGGGCCGAAGTGAAGAAAACCAGCATTTGCTTTTGAAACTTGTGCATTCAGAATAGGGAAATGCAAATGACTTTCAATTCATATAAATAAAATGCAAAGTATTTTTCATCAGCAAATGTGTTTATCAAGAAGGTCTTCTTTGCTTCTGATATACTTCATTTTATTATTCAAGGAAACAAAGTAATTTCTTGTTTCGTAGCAGCTCCAAATATAAAAATATTTGAAAATTAATTATTCCAGACAGCCCTAGGGCAGCATGGACTAGTGCAGAGTTCTTGAACTTTTTTGATCATAAATTCCTCTTAGAATTTTTTTTTTTTTTTAAAAAGCATGCCTTCTTTCCCCAGAAAAATGCATTATGCACCTACATGCAATTCTATGCTCACTTTTGGGGGAGTTATACATCCAGGCACCCTATTCCTTCATACACCAAATATTTATCAAATGCCTATTACACGCCAATTATTGTACAGGTATCAAAAAATCTTTACTGGCCTGGAGAAAATTACCCCTGAGGAAGCAGGGAGGAGACCTGGGTTCTGGGACTAACCCAACCAATGTGAGTTCAGACGACCTTCTCCGACACAGTACTCTTATTTCTGTGTCTTAGTTTCTTCACTTGTTAAATATCAGTACCTGCCCCACCTACTTAATGAATTCATTATGTGGAGGAAAAATGTAAAAAATGAATTAACTATCAAGGGAGTTACTTTAATGTAAGGCAGTACAGTTAACAACACGTCAGTGTACTCATAAATTAGTCTCTATGAACTAATTGTGATCATGATTGAGAATGAAAATGTAGTACTGAGACATAATGGGTCACTCTATACAGATGTCCTGAGCATAATTTCTTCTTACATTGCACTTGTTTCTTTTTAGGTTTTTATTTTCTTTCATATTTTATTAAATGTTATGCTGCACAATCATAAGAGAAAATCTGTCAGCATGAAACATACCGTTGCTTAAGTTCGTTGGAGGCCCGCAACACTGACTGCAGGTTGCTGACATCCACCTGCACAATGGTGACCTCGGCGGTGGGATGAGAGGCCAGCAGAGTGGCACGGACAGCTTCTGCTTTGCTCATGTTCCTGCACCCCAAACACAGGTGAAGTTCATCATCTTCCATCAGCAGCCGCTTGCAGAGGGCCAGGCCAATGCCACTGGGAGGACAAATAAGACACAGGATCTGCGTTATTTGGGATGGCTCCTGGTAGAGGCATTTCTCTCCGGTTCAGAAAACTCATTGTGTTAACTTGAGCTCCAATGAGGAGCCCAGGCAGAGAGAAAAGACTCAAAAGTTACTTAAAGAAAGGAGGAATCCTCCACTGTAACAGTCACTTGCTCAGGATGTTATCCAGTTTGTGTTTGTCTCATTCTGAAAAAGTTCAACGGCACAATAACTGGACTGAAAATGAGAGTTGTCCTTTGGCCTTTCTATTAATACCGAGTTTATACTGCTGGTGGTTTTCATTTTGTACTTTTTATGGCACTCATGAAAGTGATTTAATACATCACCAGCAAGGGTTGAAAAGAGCAACTCATTAGTTGTTTCCTACATGCATGTTTTATTTTGCTGCCTAAGTTCCTCAGCGGCAAAGGCTCTCCCATCGCCTTTTAAGGAGCACCAGAAATCTCTGATAAGGGAACAGATGAATCTTTTAGAAAGAGACATTGGTAACGTGGCAGGTGGTACAAATCCCTCTCAACTACTATGATTGAATAACCAAAAGAAAGAAGGAACTCAGCATGATTAAGTAGAATGTAGGAACTGAATAAATATTAGATGAGGACTAAGGGAAGCAGGGATGAGCACATCATTCAAAGACAATAAGCTACTTCAGGAAGAGCACTGTGAAGCACAAGAGACAGGGACAGCAGTCAAACCAGCTTGCTAGAAAGCAATGAAAACCTGGGTGATAATAAGTTCTCTTCCAAGACTTAAGCTGATTCCAGGCAAATATAGTCAGAACCCCAAAAAGAGCCTGGAACCATCAGCAATCTGTTAGCCCTGCCAATAAAACTTCAAAAACATTTGTTTATTCATCCTCACTTGATAATAGTAGGCCTTTAATATAAACATGCAATGGCACATATCATAATATATGTAAAAGAAACAAACACATAAAATCATTTCTAACTTATTTAAGATCTTCCACATCAAAAGCAACTCATCGGTTGTGAAAGTCACATAAGAGAGGACACACTAAAAAACTGCCAGTTAATTGGAGACACCTACCAAACTGGCTTAATTCATATGGACATGGTTAAATAACTGAAAGGGGACCAATCTTAAGTGACGTTTAACATATCCTCTGTTTTAATCTCTCAAAAATGCTAAGTGCAACTAATAGAAAAATGGTTTGGTTGGTTTCATCCTCCACACATTCTTTATGGAAATGCAAATGAGAAGTTAAATAGGCAACAGAAGGGGCTGAATGATCAAATGAGCAACTCTGGGATATTTATGAGCTGGTTATTCTGCACCCCAACCATGCCTTAACAAGAAAAGTTAATTTTCTCTGCGTTTCTGAAGAGTATATATTAGCTCTCTAGCACTGAGCTAGATGGAATGAGATGTTTTTTCCCCATCGTCCTAATGCTCACGGATGATCAAATTTGGCTGAGGGCAAAGGTCTTGCACAGATAAAACACTAGCATATAAGACGTGGCCACGCGGTCAGGAGCAAACCGCTGGACTGTAAATACTGAAGAGTATGTCAAAGATGGGGAAGGGGACGGGGGTCCGTGAGGGAAGGCCCTTTCCCTAGATAACCACAGGATCATCACTGAGACGCTCATCACTTACTGGCGCTCTAGTTTTCCTTTCCACTGCCATGTTTAATTCAAAGCACCAGTTCCTGGGCACCTCTAGGGCCAGCATGTCCCACACCTCCTGCAGTGGGGGCCCCAGAGAATAGCAGGGCAGGGTCTCCGCCGGAGTCCCAGCCTAGGCACGGTCAGCGGCGGGCGCTCCCAGGGTCGGTTCCTGGCGGGTCGCAGACCCCTGTTCCGCCGCCGCCTCTGCCCGCCCAAAGTAGGCCTCACCTGCTCGCCCCGGTGATCAAAACCACCTTCCGCATCTTCGCAAACCAGGCCGGGCAATAAAGCAAGAACCCACCACAGCTCTCAAAAGCCCTAAGCAAAGGCTCTCCGGCCGTGCCCACGCGCACCTCCACCAATCAGAGCGCGTCCAGGCGCGCCTCCCTTTGCGTCTTCGACTCCGCGCTGGGGCCTCCAATCGCAGTCCGCTGTCCGCCCGCGGCGCCGGGGCCGGTGTGGTGTGAGATAGGCCGAGGGGCGGAGTCGCGTGACGCAGAGGCCGGAGCCAATGCAGGTTCTCCCCGCCCCCCTCCCCTCACCCCCGCCCCTCCCCCGCCCCTCCACGGCGCAGCTGTCCTCTTCTGTCGCGACAGGGTGGGCACAGTCCCCTAGCCAAGCGCTCGGGGGCCGCCACCTTTGGAACGCGCTGGATCTGGGCCCTGTTGCCTCAGGTTTTCACTTGAATAGCAGAAAGGCCTCAGGCTGTTTTCATGTTAGAGGAAAGGTTTGGGTGTAAGAGCTAAAGTCAGGCGATTATGATGTACTCGGTTTTCCACTCCTTTTTTGATATGTAGATCCCGGCACTATGCCACTTTACAGCTCAGCTTCTGCTCCCAGACTTCCTCTCTCTCTAAAGAATCCTCTTTGGGAAAATGAACATTGATTTTAATAAAAATATTATGTAGAATCATGCGTGAATGACCCACCTTCAAAACTTGAACTATGGCATGGAATCATACAATCTCAGAACTTCATTCTCTGCTATGCCTAGAATGTACTGTAATCCGCAGCAGTGGCTCTCAAACTCTATGTGGTGAAGGAGGTGTTTTGTGTTTTCAAGCCATCCCAGATGGGTACTTTTGGATAATACAATCAATCAATAAATAAACTAGAAAAATAAAAAGCAAAAGGCATACAAAATACAAGCCCCAGTTTTTCTTTATTAGATTCAACACATATAAAAAGTACTCCGCCAAAATGCTATAAAAGTTTCTAATGCTTACTCTAGGTTTCTGTATTTACAGTAGATTAGTGACAGGACCATCACCAGTCCCAGCTCACACTGAGTAAAACTGTACATCATATATCAAACTCTACTGAACATACTTTAGTCCATGGCCTCTTTCAAGGTTTTAATTATTTATAAACAGCAATGATCCCCAAAAGACTGAGATAATCTATATTGGCTTTTGATTTTAGAGGTTTTGGCTAATGATACCAACTAGTTTAGTAATCATGTACCTTATACCAGGAAAAATTAGATTGAAAGAACAAATTTGATTATTTGAACATTACATTCCTAAATAAAATTTCTTTATCATGGAGGTGGAATTCACCTCCTATCCTTATCCCACTCTCAACTGTTTAAGACCACGATGTAACAATACTTTCTGAAAATCCTGGAATAAAATTACCCCAATCTTGAGAGTCTACACCCAAAGGTTCCTTTTAAAATGTCCTGGAACTGAGAGGTGATGTGTAAAAGGAGTGAGAGAGGGGAGACAGAGTTACATGGCTATTCCATAGAAAACTCATTCCTGCAAAGGGGGAGGGCCTAGACTTTACAGGTTCATCAGCATCACCGCCATCTTGGGATGACCACCAGGGTAGAACAGACTGAAATAAGAAAAAGGCCAGAAGACTTCAGAGCCAGACCAACAGTCTCTCCTTTTACCATGGTTTCAGTCCAAGTCAAGTGAGGAAACTTTGGCCTCTTCTTCCTTTTTTCAACTAAAGTTACTGCTTTCGAGGTGTTGTGACCTTCAAACGATGGGCTGAATTGCTAGAGGTGCCAGAGAGACCAGGAGAAGAGAACTTTGTTCACAACAGATATCATTTAATCTTGTATTTTCACAATATTTTATCACATGTAGGACATAGCTCAATAACGGTTGTAATGTATTCTTATTGCTAGGTGAATGGGTAGGTATGGTTTTTATCATGCCAAGCTATTCATATTAAGTTTGTGTTGTTCATGGGATCATTCTGTTTTCCTGGAAACCAAACAATGATCCCATCTATCCCTCACAAACCTTGCCCCATAATTGGAATAGTAAATATAGTAACTCCCACTTTGAATGTCTATTTACCACTTCATATAATAAATTTGCCTCTACCTCAAGACCTGAAACAGAGCTCTGGTTCCTTTTGTGGTAACCAAACCAGTCCTTAGGTAGACAAGGACATGTAAAGGTATCTTTAACCCCCATAACAAAGCTCTGTTTATAGTCCTTATAAACCTCTCCAGAACTAACTTGCCTTTAGTTTGTAAATAGGGGGAAAAGAACTGAGCCAAATAGCTTCTCTTGGATGTATCTTTCATCCGTATTCCCTTCAAATCCTTGTACATCCAGCCCGGGTCAAAACTACTTCAGAAGTGGAATTTTACACAATTCATTACATGGTAAGAGGTCATTTGCTGCCTATACCTAAGAAATTAGTGTTTTGTAGGACTCAAAGACCAGAAGATATAAGTGTGTATACTTCTTTTTCAAATGTGAAATGAACATAAAATTATAAATGGAGATAAATGAGTTTGCAAGTCCTCAACACTTAATGAAATACAAAGTCCTTCAAGTTGTTAAAACATAAGAGGAGACATAATCTGTCTTTAGTAACGACTTATGCATTCAGATACGTGCATAGCATGTCTATGCCATATCACGTAAGCACACATGTATATCACTTATATCTACCTTTAAACTTTGGCAATAGATATTGACAATAGAATGGTACCTCTTTGAACATCTCTGCCATCCTTATTTACTTTTTTCTTCTTCCCCCCACCCCCACTCCTACCACACAGCTGCTTGAATCCCTGGTTCCTAGTCCTGGAGTCAAACCAGAATGTGGGGTCAGAATGTGCACTCATGGGTCCTCTGGTTATCCTCTGGTAATGTATATCTAGTCCCTTATCTACCATGACCATTGCTGAAAAAAATATGTTCAGAGAACTCAGAAATATTCTGAGAAATATTCTCAGAAAATTAAAAGTATAGCTTATTCTTCAGGGACCAGGTAAGAAATGTATTGTTTTGGGTGGTTTCATTGAAATCTCTGTTATGAAGACTGAGTCTGAATTTGGGTTGTTTGTAGTTTTGGTTGCTTTGTGCATGCATGGGCAGTCTGCTCATATGTGGATTTAGAAGGGATTTCTGTGTCTCCAACAAGAGAACTCCGTAACAATAACAATAAAAGATCGCCACTTAATTCTAGACTGACTTTCCCAGAACTGAAGTCATTAAAGTGAGGACATAAAATCCCAGTCTCTAGTGTGTTTGGATATGTCAGAGACCAAGATGCTTTCCTTTCAGTGGTCGGCTAATGTGTTAGAGGCCTGTGTAAGTGACCCTCTGTTGGATGGCCCCAGCAAGCAGGTGTCCACATCATATGCACCCAGCTCTGTCCCCACACCCCTCCGCTTCTCTAGAAATAATGTAAGGATGTAAAGAGAAAGGTAACAGAGCCCACAACCTGTGCTGTTTACACAGAAAGGAGGCTCCATCAGTAGCATGACTCTTTAATCATTGTTATTTACAATTTATCATCTGACAGACTTACAGAGAATAAATAAAGAAAATATACAATTGGTATCATGTTTCTTTTTTTAATACAGAGAATTTTTATGTAATTTATTTTGGAATGACTATGATAGTTTTAAGCAGAAAATAATCTGTTGGCTATTTATCCCTTGACAAGACACATCCTCTTCCAAAACCTGCAGAATGAGGCCCAGATGTTTCCGTGTCATAAGAAGAGTGCACCACATTGCTGCAGAAACTCAGTCCTCAGGAAAAGTTACCAGACAACAGGGTAGAAGAAATAGGATATCATGAATAATAAAGGACATAAAATGGATAGGCTAGATTACAGATTCTTGGTGCGTTTGCAGGAAACCTCCCAACTTTCAGTTGTTTCCAAGCCTCTTTTCAAGAAAACAGTTTTTCACTGAAAGCGATCACCTTACCCCATGCTGCTTTCCCTTGAGTCTCTCCAAATCCTTCCTGGACACACAGTTGTGATTGTGGACGAGTATAGGCTAGCGTGGGACTCCTCATTCTCCTACAGAGGCACATGACGTTGTTGACAAGGTATCTGCAGGAGAAACTAGATAGCGTGTTTCAAATGTCCTGTGTTTGGGGCCAGAGTCTGGTCTCTGCCTTTGATCCAGTACTGTGTGGAGAATTACCTTTCATTGACGACTAAATACCTCAAAAAAATGAAGCATTTCCATAGATCAATTTCACTATCAGAAGGTATACAAATGGAGGTTGTACTTCACCAGGTACAAGTCTGGGCACTTTTTTCGCTTTCCTCATTTGAAAATATACACTCTATGTTACAGCCAAGCGATTCTCCCTAAATTCACCCTAGTTATGCTGGATGACAAGTTTTTGTTTCCATCTTTTACTCATTCTAAAAACAACATTTGAAAAATGTTTATCTAGTGCTCACAATGTCCTAGGGACTTTACAAGACACATACTGTTATAATCTTGTGACCCGTAATGGGGCACTTAAAAATGTCATCACAAAACCCAAAGCTGTAATCCATAAAACTGGAGGTTCACCTTCTCCCCAGGCTGTTTCTATGTTTGCATTTAGTTTGGTCCAATGTAGTTGTTATTCAAGAATAGATATTTAGGCAAAGAAAACTTCTCTACCACTCTGAAAATAATATTTTATCACACGCTATAGTCTTATACCACTGTATTATATTCCTTCCACAAGCAATCCCTAGTGCCATTAGCTAAGTGCCACCTAACTCTTGACCAAAATACTAATTACTCTAAAGTCCACTACAAATTCTACTCATAGAAACTGCAGGAACCATCTAACATATCCTTCTATACCTGGTTCTTTAACCAACAAGCTATGGACAGGCCTTACTGTCACTTGTGTTGTCCAATACTTTTAAATTTTTCTTGCATTGTTTCAGGTGCCAAACAACCAAACTAATCAGAAAATTTAGAAGCAGTGTAGGCAGGATATTGTTCATTGATAAAGAAACAGATTAACTTGTTATATTCTCTTGAAATTTGTAGAATTATATCCAGATGGTGTCTTTTCTTTGGTATCCAAATAAGGCCAGATTACAAATCAGCAAGAATTAAAAGTATCCAGCAACTAAATGAGTACATGTGGAAAAACTGATGAAATCCAAATAAAGTCTGTAGTTTAGTTAAATAGTTTTATACCAATGTCAATTTTCTGGTTCTGAAAATAGACTGCAGTTGAAAATGGACTATGTAAAATATTATCAATGGGGAAAGCCAGGTCTAGGGAAGCCACTCTACTATTTTTGCAACTTCTTGTGAGTCTTAAATTATTTCAAAATAACAAGTTTTTTTAAAAGGATTCACCAACTAAACAATTACCCACCACTCCTTTGCTACCAAGCAATGTAGCTAATTGTAACAGAGAACTTGAAATACCAGAAACCAAATCACCATCAACCACCCCAGTCCCTTTCCCTCTCAACTGAGCACTCCAAAACTTTTACCAAGCAGAAAAGACATTCATCTGTTTCTACAAAAATGTTGAATTTCAATTCAGAAAGATTTCCCAACAAAAATTAGGATCTGCATCTTCCTGGAGATGCAAGAACATTAGGGACCTACCACATGCACTGCCAGAAGACAGAAATTTTACTGAAAAGACTAAGATGGAAAATCTCGGGTCTATAAATTCGACTTATGATCAAAGATTTAATAGCCATATATTGTAATCTTCTTTCTTTTTTTTTTTTTTTTTTTTTTTGTAGTTTGGGCAAAACAGATGCTGTTCTGTTTTAGTATATTTCCTTGGAACATCCTCATCTCTTTCCCTCTTTCAAACACTTCCCTTCCTCTGTTCTCCTTTACTCAAAACACATGGTTTAGCAGCACATCATGGCTTTCTTGTGGGAAGCCTGGATGGGACTAGAAAAACACATGTTTCCAGCACGCACATACCTCTTTTTGCAGGTAACAGACAAGATTTAATCTTATCTAATTTATGCATATCGTTTCAATGTTTGTAGCCATTCTGGGCACTGCAATGATAGGCATTATTGAAATGGATTTCATTGACAGAGGCAAGAGAAGGGAACATGGAGATTCATGAGCTACCATAAATTCCCCATCTCTAGGTCTTCATTGCCAAAGCAGCACTTGGAAAACCAAGTCCAGTTCAGGCAAAGAGTTGATTTCTTCTTACCAGCACTTGAAGTGGTCTAGAGCACACAGATGCTCAAAATGTTTTCCTCATCCACTTCCTCTGAAGTGAAACGGTGGTTCCCTGATGGTTGCTTGTGTCTTTTCCATGAAGGGACTTCCTTCCCCGTTCTTAAAACTCTGAAAAATTCCCGTCCATTTCATACACTGCACCTGACTGTTCATTTTTTAACGAATATTTTTATAAACTCTATTGTGCAGAATTTCATCTTTCTCCATCTACCTTTACCTTTTACTTCAAGACACTTACTTTTTCCATCCTCTCTTGGACCTCTCTTCAGAGAGATCTGCTTTCATGCTTCAGAATGGATTCCCAACAGCTCCAGCTACCCCTGTTTCCTGCTTCCCCTGAGCCTCCCCCGTCTTTCCTGTGCACTCCCCACCACCTCTTTTCACGGAGCCTCCTTTCTAGCCCTCTCCTGCCTCCCTATTCAGCCACATGCACATTCGTGTTTCCTTTCTTTAACCCCACTTGCTCACGACCCTCCTTGTGACATAGCCTTTTACACCTGCAAGTGATCTTTCTACAGCATTAAAACTACATTTTCTCTTCGGGCGCCTCTTTCCACTCCAGATCTTTTCTCATCGCATATTTGTCTGGACAGCACATCAAGATTTGGAACTAGCTATCAGCACATTAACTAGCAAGAGTATAAATTTAGATCTGACAACCCCACAACACAATCTGGACATAAAATACTTCACATATTTTGTGAAGATGATAACTTACTGCAAAGGTAATGAGGCCCCATAGCTTCTCATCATTTATTTTCTGTCTCCTTTTCCAAATAAGCCCTACTTTCATTCTTCTAATTTAGATTCAAGCTACTTTTAAATTCTACATACTAAGCCTTTGCCATGTACTCTGTGGATCGCTTAGATTTGTGCTACTAATCTCTGCAGGCTTGATTAAGCTACAAGTTAAAGCTGTGCCTGTAATAAAAGGGGTCAGTGCCAGAAGATGAAGCTTTCCCCATCTCAGAAAAGGATACATACATGTATTATATGATAATACATACTTGGAAGCCACCTGAAACACATTACTTCCATGATTCAAAGCCAGGAAAATCCAGACATAGTAAGTTCATTTTAAACCTGATTTTTTAAAAAATGGGATCATACAATACCCAGCGAATTGGGGCAGAGTCATAAGAAGAAATAAGTGGAGAGATGTTAGGCAAAGGAAAGCAAACTGATATTATTTTCTCTTGCTATGAAAAATGTCATGACATGGTCTGGATGTAACCCTACCAGAAGCATGTGGGTAAAGGAGAATAAGTCCTGATTTCAAGTCCCTTTAATTCTAATGAAGTTGATTAACACTTATATTGAAAGCAGAGTGTGGCAGTTCCCAAGGTATAAGAGAACATGTCTGGCCCTGCACATATCAAATATGATAATGTCTGTGGAGCCAGGTAAACCAAAGCACTGTACAAATGGCAGGTGTTACTCTTACTGCCATTACAGTGATTATAGTAACTCCAACTCTGAAAATTGTAATTTCTACAATTTTCATAGTAGGGAATGACCAAACTACTGAATCTACGTCAGTTATAGATCCAGTTATCCAGCAGTACTGGACGTATGAGAACCAGAAGGAACTTCAAGACCATCTAATCCAACTTCCTCATTTTATAGATAAGGAAACAAAATGCAGAGAGACAAAGTGATTTACTCAGGAAGACACACTTGGCTTGAGGCAGAAAGATGATCAAAGTTCTCAAACCAATGGTCTCTCCAAAGTTAGTCCTGGGAGAGACTAAAGCCTACAGTCATAGGACAGCTACGGGGAAAGGGCATTTGCTAGGGTCAGAAGAAGACCTGCAAAATGGATCTTTGGGACGTGGGATTTATGCTTCTGCTCTGGCCTGGAACAATGCTGAAGGCTGAACAGGGGAAATACGTTCCTGAGAAACTGGGTAGAAGGTGGCCTCGTGAGGGCAACAGAGACAGACTCAAGGGGTCAAGACTGTTCCTTCTCAGCTTGGGAAGCTTATTCTGTAATCTTTTTTTGTTTCTCCTCAATGGGAATTAAGGGTTCCCGTTTCCATTTTCCCACCAAATCTGAGGATTTGTGGAGTGTGAAAGCCCAGAATCCATGCTGAGGGGACTCCTCCTTGACACTGTATTCATTTCCATGAATTCTGAAACCAGAGCCTCATGCTTTCTTCTCTGCTGGCCACAGCCTCTCAGAGGCAAGAGTATATGTACCACACAGCAGCAACGGACATGCATTCTGTGCTGTTCTGAAATCAAGGACTCTCAGGGTCACAAGGCCATTAAATATTATCTCGTAGGACCATCTACCTTGTGTTTGAAAATCTCCATCTTTCTTGCACAGTTCTTCAGCCTACATCTGAACCTCTTCAGTGACATCTCTGGAGGCAGCCCATTTATCCTTGTCTGTTTTCCTTAATGACGACTGGAAATCAGTCTCCCTATAACTTCTCCTCATTGGTCCTAGGTCAGCCTTTTGGGGACACGTAGAACAGATCTGTTATTCCCTGTTATACACGGCCTTTAGGAATTTATGCCTGAGAAATTCAGCCTCCAGCGCAAAGGTTCCACGGAGGCTTCATCCATTAAAAGAGCTGGAAGATTTGGACAAGATGAACCAAAGGGCTTCCTATCAAGATATCACAACACTAGTTTTTACTGATTCAAAACAATCAGGTTCTCACTAAAACACACATGAAACACAAAAATGTCTGAACAAAGCAAAGAAGAGAACCCTCTGCAGAAATCACCAATGAATAATAGATAGCACACCTGTTACTTCTCCTCCATCTCCACAGACCTTCTTTCCTATGTCCACTATCTATTCAAGAATCCTTCCACACATGAGGTTCTTTTTTCAATATAACAATTCCCCTTCATAGCACCCTGCAGCAAGCATTCTTTCCTATCCGCATCCTCTGTTGTTTTATATATGAACTTCAACCCTGACCCCTGTCCATGAATGACCAAAACCACCCATTCCAAGAAACTGGGGGTTTCCAAGAATGTGTCATCCACTTTGACAGGAGAGGCAAATACAGAGAGTGGGACGTGTCCAGACGCCAAATTAGAAAACCATCTGTGATTAGTTGCTTAATGCTGAGTCCTCAGATTCTCCACATCTATCAAGTGTTTTCCCTATGCCTAATGTCATGTTTCTGAAGACATCAGTATTCTTCAAGTTCTTCTTTCTGAAGACATTGTTTTAAAGGTGACATGGAAAAAATATTCTAGAATCTGCACATTTATAAACACAAGCATATTTAACCTTTATAAATTATCTGAATTTTCTAGCCTTTGTTATCTAACACTTTGGTATATCAAATAAGATTTTTTTAACTAGATTTTATCTGCCCTAGGCTTTTTTTTTTCTTTTTTTTGTTCTTTAATGTAAAAAAAGAGTATATATGAGTTAGGGTTAGGGAGTGGGGGAGTGCAGTGGAAGGAAGTGAGGAACAGAGAGAGAGCAAAGCAAACAAGCCGCTGTCTCTCAGGTTCATATACATCCAGATGGAGTGGCTTAGGCATGGGTGAGTGGTAGGTCTTGTGAGGAGGACCTGGGCGGTCGGAATGTTGCCAGGCGTGGGTGGCATCACTCGTCCCCTTGTTGAAGGAGCAGAAGGTGGATCTCTTGGAACGAGGGGCGGTGCTTGGTATCTCTTCTCCAGCAGCTGAGCATCAGCTTATACACAGAGTCAGGGCAAATGGCTGGTTGAGGAAGGTAAGTCTTTGAAAACAAAAATTTAAAAAAGAAAGAGAGAGAATATTAAGAAGAAAGGGAAAAAGAGTCTTTGCATCATGGTTTGATTTGCCCCCTCCCCCCTTTCTTGAACTTGAGACTTGAATCAAGTTCAAGTGCTAAATCATATCGGCCCCTTTACTATTTTTTTTGCCCTTTCCAGTTCTCTGGAGCAGGATTTCCTGATGGGCCATTCTGTGGTCTCTACCTTCATGCAGAAGATGGAATTGAAGCAAAAAGAGATCAAATCTTCCATTTATGCCTTGCTCATGTTGAGGTTTACCTTGGCTATCCAATCATGACAGAAGCCAAAAATATATTTGTAGTCTTAGCTTCTCGATCAGAATAAAATCTTAGCCAGATGCAGAAACCGGGATGCAGGATGTGTCCATGTAGCTTCCAGCCATAATGTTCTCTGCACTGCCCCAACCCCATTATTTGCCCCATCTAGAGGAGAATGGATTTCTGCTGTACGACATGCACCAACATCCCTGCATTTACCCTGTCAATAGCCTTGCCCTGAATTCCAGCCTAGGGCTCTACAGCAGGTCCTCGGATAACATTTTGTTGATGAGAAAAACATAACAATAATCTGGCCTGGGCCACTGTCTGTGTGGAGTTTGCATGTTTTTCCCATGTCTGCATGGTTTTTCCCCGGGTACTCCAGTTCCTTCCCACATCCCAGAGATGCACACGTGAGGCAAATTGGAGTGCCTAAATTGTCTGTCCGAGTGAGTGCGGGCGTGGGTGTGAGTGGCCCTGCCATGGGGTGGTGTCCTGTCCAGACCTGGGTCCCATCCCCATGCCCTGAGCTGCTGGGATGGACTCTGGCCACCCACAGCCCTCAGTGGGAGTAATTAGGTAAATAATTAACTTACTGTCTTTATTACTCTCTCTTAAATATATTTATAGCTCACATTTATTTCAATGTTTAGTATTAGAAGTGTTTCAGATCTTTATTTAGAAGATTGGTGATGTTTTAACTCACAAGTAAAAAGGCAAATATCTGTGACTTCTATTGGAATTCTAATGATATCTAACAAGCCTTAACTCAGTATGTTACAAATGATTATGACGATAAAATACTAAGAATTTAAAAGGAAATATCAATATATATAAGGGTACAGGATAACAAACACTCCTTTATATTACTGGTGAAACTTAAAACTTTCTAGGGTGTTCATTAGTTAACTTTAGAAAAAATAGTATATACATTTTGAGCCAATGGATGTCAATAAAATTGAAATAATAAATAATTGAAATTATTAGGGTTCCCCTTTTCAAAATCTTATAAACTTGGCAAGTAATAGAAGTTATATTTCGTAATAATTCATAATATATTTATAGAATTTTGTTACCTTTTATAACAGTAAACAAAATAAAGTTTTAAAATGGTATTTAATTTTTGGTTATTTAATTTCATTTAGACCATGAGCTTTCAAAAAAGTGCTATCTGGGAATTCATCACATTTTTTGAAGCTAAATTGAAAGAAAAATGTCAAATATATTTTTTAATTATTGCAATTATTACTATAGACTTCCAAATACTTGCAATTGAAGACAAAGGATTTAAGATTTTTCTAAACTATGAATCTTAAGTATAAAATTCCTTCTAGAATTTATGTTACTGAAATTTTTCTTCTACATTAGATCTGCTATGCTCAGTAAGTTAGTCATGCCACTTAAAGCTGAGTTAGATCACACACGTGTATTCTAGTGATCATAGAATCCAACTAGCTGCTGATGTTGAGAAATTATTATCCCTACACTCCAAGGTCAAACTTTGAAAATTTGAATATTTAAATTTAAATAAAAAACTTAATAGTAATTAGATTTAGTAAAATTTAATAAAATGCAAATTAAATAAATCATTTTAATAAGTTAATATGTTAAATTTAGTATTTTTTTATTAAAACTTTACACTTATGCTTGTAAGTGAGATGTTTACTCAGCATATAATGGTATTATTTGGCTTTGTCCTTGGCTTCCATCAAGTATTTGACTTTACTACTTGACCATTTGGTAGTCAGTCTGATATATATTTGGTATACCACTAGTATCTGGTAAAAGGCAAAAATGGTGGACCCTTTAAAAGTGATTTTAAAAAAATAATTTAAAAAAATAAAATCTCAGAAATTATTAGAAATGAAAACTTCCATCAAATAATAAAAAAAATTCTTACAAAATTGAATCACATAACACTGAAATAATCAGTATGGAATTTTTTAGTGCTAAGTTAAAAAGCTCTGTAATATCAAGAATATTTTTAGTGCGAAGCAGACAGTGGACATGAAGAGGGGTGGAAAGGCATGCCTTTCTTTTGTTGAATGTTTGGTGGTCCATTTTTGCCTCATGTGAAAAAAATATTTTTCCCTATAGAATTTCAGTCACTGAATAAGAAGCTGAGGGAGACTACAAAGGCTTACAGTATTCTTACCCAGACAGCCCATCTTTCAGCTCAGGGCTCTCCTGCTAAGTCAGGACTTTCCTTTCTCTCTCCCTCAAGAGCACACAAGTCCACATGCATTCACCCCTAACAGTTCTTACCTGCCTCCCCTGGTCTCGGAAGAACTCTCCAGTATTCTCGATAACTTGTTCATCTGACAGCTGGGAATAGGGCTGCTCCTGGCAAAAGGTGAAAGTCTCCCACAGAGTAACCCCAAAGGCCCACACGTCACTGGCTGTAGTGAATTTGCCCTAGGAAGTAAGGAAAAGAAGGGAAAATCAACATAAGCTGTGCACGACAAGAGCAGGTTAGATTTCATAACCTAGAATTATCCCCCTTCCCCTACCAAGGGCAAGGAATGTTGAAATTGCCAAGATATGCATGGAGGATCTAGAAATGACAACACAAAGTTGTCAAGAAACAAGCCATTCTCTTTTCCTCATGCTCTCAGCTTAGTTCTGCTTCTCTGGAGATGAGTCCAAGAGCTGAAAGAAATGTAGCCATGAGCTATCTGACTCTTCTATTGAGTGTTAGAAGGTCAACCTTTAGGCTCTAGGGTAGCCCTGAGAAAGGCAAAATTTGAATGAGAGGTCAATTGTTTTCATGTTACACAGAGAAGAATTCGTTTAAGTGCCTGAAGTAAGATCCTGGGTGAGTCCAGGACCCTCACTTCCAAGTTCAGTTGATAGCCACAGTCTGGAAAGATAGACTTTAACAAGTGACAGCAATGAGACTCAGGTGTAATTAACATGCATTGAATAGTTACAACATTGTGAAGTAGATGATATTATTTATCCTTATTTTTTAGATCAGAAAAATGAGACAGGAGAGGTATACTAAATTCTCCTGGTGGATAAGACCATTAGTAATGGAGATTCAAGCTAAGATCCTCTGAATATTAGTCTAATATATTGTTTTCAACAGCATACAATAACTTCAGAGAGAGCAATGCTTAGTGATCACATTAGAAATGGATAAAATGTAATGATCCATCCATATAAATGAAAATATCTTTATGGGGATTTATTAATATGGAAATTGGTATATATCACAGAATCATTCATAATAGCAGGAAATTGGAAAGTACTTAAATATCAAATTATAGAGACATTATTAAATTATAGGGTACATTCACATGATAGAATATTACGCAGCCATTAAAATCATGTTTTTAAACAATATTTAATGACATTGGAAATAATAAAATGTTAAGTGAAAAATAAAGATAGAGAACTTTATGGCATAGTATTATCTCAATTATGTAATATAAATCATATATGTATATACATACATACATATACAGAAATACATGTATAGAAGAAATACTTGCATAGAAAAAAGTCCTCAAAGAAAATATACCAAAATTTAATAGTGCTTATCTTGGTGAATGGAAGATAATAACTACATTTTTCATTTCAAAATTAATTCATGAATCCTATAAGAGTACAAGCAGGAAATAAGCAGATTAACTATAAATGAACAAAACCAAATTGGTCTCAGGCTTTTCTCTGCAATATTATAGATGACAAAAGACAAAATAACATATCTTTTCTATAATATGACATTGTAGAAAGGAAAAGTTTATAGTCTAATAATTCTATAAATCAGCTAAGTGTTTACAAAATCTATACTAAAAAGTCTCAGATATGCATGGTCAGAAAATATACCTCCAAGAGAGACATTTGGAAAAAATTATTCACTCATGGTGTGGAATACCAAAAATTGAGTACAAATTATAAAGCAAAGAATGATGAATTCAAAAAGCAAATATTAAAAATTATTAGAATAAAAATATGGATATTAGTCTAAATAATTAATGAGAAATATGTTTATGAAATTAATGTAGAAGAAAAATATTTTGTGTGGATAACATTTCTTTAAATGGTAAGGTTTTTAATACCCTAAACTAAGGCCAATCAGTAGGTGAAAAGGGTAGAGAGAAAAAAAATGATATTAAATTCCTTATATTTTTAAATTTTCCCTCTAAATTTTCTATAATGACCTCGTTACTTTTTCTAGCCGAAATAGGCAAGTATTAAACAATAACAATAATTACTGTGCGAAGAAAATCATCTCAAGTCAGAGAAAATATCATGGTCTCTTGAGCTGGCCTCCTGTTTTCTCAGGTTTGTCCTCACATGCCATGTGTGCCTGCCCACATGTCACTTGCTAGGGACGGGCTTAATAATGCTGGGGACTCACCAGCAAGATGCTCTCCCAAGACATCCAGCGGATAGGGAGCACTGCCCGGCCCTGGATCCGGTAATAGTCACCACTGTACAGGTTTCTGCTCATTCCAAAGTCAGCGATCTTGATGGTGTAGTTCTTACCCACTAAGCAGTTTCGTGTGGCCAGATCTCGATGGACAAAATTAAGAGAGGAAAGGTACTTCATGCCAGAGGCAATCTGGGTAGCCATAAACTTCAGATTGGTGTAACTGAGGAAACAGACAAGAAGAGAGAAGGTAGCCTATGGAAACAGGAAGCCAGGAAAGGCTCACATTCTAAAGTTGATATCAACAAACCAAAGTTTAAACCCTAAGATCCCTTCTCTACTCTTAGTGAGCCCCTCTGCATTCCCCCAAAGGGCAGCTGCTCCATTATTCCCCGCACACTACCCTCCCCCACCATCCCAGAACAAAGACGAACTCTAAGGCTCTCTGCTCCCTGTTTTCAGATGCCAGGTTGCTCTCATGACCATGGGGAAGCGATTAAAGATCTGGCTCGTTTACCTTACTGTGGGTACGTTGCTGGAGGAAGAATTTGGGGGTTCATGGCGGGAAAGAAACTGATTGAGATCTCCATTCTCCATGTACTCAGTGATCATGCAGAGAGGGTCGTCGGTGATACACACAGCTAGGAGACGGATGATGTTTGGGTCCTTGAGCCGGGACATGATCTTTATCTCCTTAAGAAAATCATTCCTTTGGAGGACACAGACATAGATAAGCCCAGAGGTCGCCAGAATCAGAATCAAGAGGGGGAAGAATACACAACAAAATCTATTCCTACCCAATACACCAAGTCTTGTTTCCCTTTGGATAAGCCATGAGAGAACAGAGAACCTGGCTCCTGGAACTGTCTCATTCTACTTCTCTTGGAATATGCTGGACCCTTATTCAACCATAATGTTTTTGAGAACAAGATCCATGAGTTATTCACCTTTGAATCCCTAGAATCTAGCAAAATGCCTGCCACATAAAAAGTGATTAATGTTTGCTGAACCAAATATAGGCTACTAAAAACTACTCTGAAAACGAGACTTTTCACTGAAAGTCATATCTTAAGTGCACTAAGGTATTTACCTTTTTAAAAAGCCATGGAATCACTTTATTCATAAAGTGAAGCTTTTTAAAGGGAACAGCCACCCTTGATCTATCTGATAATTCTTTGTTTTCTCACACTGGCTTTTCTTAATACATTATGCACCAGAAGTCAGTCAGAACATACCTTTAGCAGCCTGTTCAAAATAGAGCTGTTTAAAGGCCATGGTGGTAAGGTGGGGTCATTTCAAAAAATGTACTCCCTTGGCCAAGGCTAATAAATGTTTGAGTACATGGTGACAGCCACCCTTCAGTTATAAAGTAGCAATATTTGGGTTACTGAAGCTACTAGCCCACATTCCCAAAACTGTTGGTGCAAACCAGTCATAAGTCTACCGTGAATGTTGTAGGAACCCAGGACTAGAAGGGATACCATATTGATAGGAAGCCCTTGGAATCAATGTAGTCCTAGTGCAACACCTCCCCTCTTTCATCTTTTCTTCATCCCAAACCAGGAGTTTCCATGGCTTGGAAGGGTCCAGAGCCAAAGCCATCCATCATTGCTAAACAGAAGTGGGCACAGGTGGAGGCATAGCAAACAATGGAGAAAGGCTTTGTCCTAGCCTGTGGTTTGTTTTTCTGCTTGCCACTCTCTCTAATAATGTGCTAAGGTTAATATGAGGAATACTCCATTTCTCCATGGGGCCCAGAGAACGTCACTTTTCATTCATACCCATATCCTTAAGAATGAAATTCTCAGTTAAAATTCTAAAACCTCCATAGTTTTGTTACCTCACCTTTCTCTCTTCTTCCACATCCTGTCGGTTGCAGGACTTTTAATGAAACCTATCACCATTCTTGGAATTTACAAACACTTGAGTAATAGAAATAATAAACTCTCTATCACTATGAATATCAGTGAGACAAATCAAGACAACAGGAATGGGAAAATGCATATGTTATCCAGATGTGCAGATTTCCCTGGGACACATGCAACCAACTTTCAACCAGCATGCCCCTCTGGGTGAGGATTAACTCACCATCACTGTAATGGAAAGGCTGTCAGACAACGGAGTATGGCTAGAAGCTGCCATTTATGTGATAAAGGATCCAAGGGATTATTAGCCAGTTTGGAAAACCACTAAAGGACTGTGGATCCTTTTGCTTTGAGGTCCATGGATATTTTCCCAAGTAGAGGTAGCTTCTCATTTTGAGGGTTGCTGAACATAGAAGAAAAGGAGCATAAAAGAGAAAAAAAGGGGATGAGAAAGTAAATAGAGACGTGAAAAAAGGAGAATGGAAGAGGCTTAGCAAGAAAGATGCATGTGAGTGTGAAAAGTTTGTCGAGAGGAGGTAATGGCATTGAGGAGTATGTCTGTGTACAGTGATTAAAGTATATATGTGGCATATACAATGGAAAATATACATTTTTGTTTGAGAGAGATGGAGAAAAAGATGAGGACTGCTGACCCTATCAGAACAAAAGAGCGTAACAATGGAAACGTGAGGCAGCTCACAGACCTTCCATCTCAAAAGAAAAAATTGCTCAGAAGTATCCAGGAGTATTCTTGGTCCTAAAGATGAAATACATAAAGGAAAATTCAAAATGCAGACCACAGACCTGGCATTCTTGTTGGCATCTGCTCGGAGCATTTTCACGGCCACCAGGACAGGCTGGTTGGCACTGACATCTAGGGCAAAATCTTTGTCTTTGAACTTTTCCATTCCCTCCACTTCACAGAGATGAACCTAGACAAAAGTCATCTAGTCTCAGCATCATCATTTCTCCTGAAGATGTCTCAGTACTCTTGCTGGGCATTTCCTGGAGATAAACTAACTCTCACAACTGAGGTAAAATAACCAAAAGACTGATAAGAAGATATGTACAACATATCTTTGATTCAAATAATTGATAAAACTAAAAACAATGATAAAGTACGCAGCTAATGCAATACATGCCTGCCTTGTAAAAGAAATAGATATTGATTGGAACATTGAATAAGTGAATGAATAAATTAATAACATAACATTTTGTTACAGCATAGCCCACTATAAAATGTTATTTAGTATAAATGTTTGAACTTTGATTTGTTGGTTATTGGATCATGCAAAACATAAGACAATTTCCTAAGGTAATCCCTTAGTATGAGGTTTAGCATTATAAGTAACTCCTGGGTATTAGTAACAGCATAATAAGTGTGAATTTTCAACCATGGGGAAGAATGAGTACATATATCACCATGAACAAATGCTGTGGACCTCTCTACCTCCCCTAACAACAGACCTACCCAAGAAGAGAGCATGGGACCTACACTGAAAACCAATAACCCATTCTTATGAAACCAAGTATTATATCTGAAGTTTAGATAGCAGAGTTGCAGAGTTCCTATAACAACTTAAAATATTACTTTGAGTTCTCAGAAGGTTTCATGTGACTGATGCAAGAGTGAGAGTTTAATATTGTATCCCTTTGAGGGCCACAGAGAAGAGTACTCCTCCTTATCTTAGTGGGTGATTCATTCCCTGGTGGCTGATTCTGGGACCAAAGGCAGGGGCGAGGTTGTTTTCGATCATTTTACATTTAACTCCCATTAAAAGGAAAAAACAAAGTGGCTATCAAGCAGCAGGGTGTTCCTGGACAGTTCGTAAAAGATGATCACATCTGTGGACCCCACCCTCTGTAACCTATTGTAGAAATTTTTGAAAACATTGAATGTTTTTCAGGGTATTTGAAGTCTAGTGGCTTGCCTGCCTTAAAAATTCCTGCATAAAAATCAGAAGTCTCAGGAACTCCACAGCTACTTGACAAAGTTGAGACTGACCCAATGCCAGTCTTCCAGAGGATAACGCAAGGAGAGACCAGTGGAGGAGACATTCAGTTGTGAATCCACTTCTGGAAGGGACACTTTGTTCTGCTGACCGTTTTCATCCAACCACTTCCTTTGAGCTATCAAGGACCTGAGACCCCAATCAAAGGATCAACTCACCTCCCCAAACTGGCCTTCTCCCAGCTTCTCCTTGAAAGTTAAGAGTTTCCTGGGGAATTCCTCCACAGCCACATCTTTCCCTGACAGCAGGTCCATGGTGACGGCGGGCACTGAGTAGGTGTTGCCACCTGTCACTCCTTGGAGGTTCACTATGTCAGCCTCTGCATAGTGGGGCACCCCCTCAGGGCCGCTGGGCTGGACTGGCTTCACAATGCCACTGCAGCCTGGGAAGACAAGGACAACCAGTCTTGTACCAGGGGGCATCTTTGGAGAACTCTTCAAGGATGAAAATCTGAGAGGAGGGCTGGAACACGCCCCATGACAGCCTGACCTACTTCGTTTCACTTACTTGTAGAATGGTTTTGCTTCCTCTAGAGGCTTTCTTGTGACCTTCAGACCATTTTATCTCTCATTCTTCTCCTCATAATACATGACTATTAACAACTTCCTTAGCTAATCTTGTGGAATTGTATGGTGAAGCTATAGGAAAGCTGATGGTGTATCAGGGTGGGAATATTAAAGGTTTAAGGTTTGGTAGCATATTTCCTAAATTTTAAGACACTGGCATTGATTTAAATCCCTATCTTAGAGATTTAAAACTTTCAGATTAAATTTATATGATCTAGTTTAAAATGCGTCTTCACTTAAATGTTAAAATATGAGATGCGGGATGTTTTAGCCTTCAGAAGATAGATAAATTACTTCAGTTCAGTCTAGGAAATAAGTTAGTTTATATTCTTTATTCTTGCTTTCTCTGTGAAGAAATGTTTTCTGTTTGTTGAGTGATAAAATAGATGTTAGTTTCCTTTCCTCCAAAAAAACCCACAAAAAAACCCTTCCTCAAAAACTTCATGCTGTCATAATATTTAGTCCTGCCTGGCTTCTGCATCCAGCTCAAGCCATGCTCCTCTCTCCTGAACACAAGTGCTCTTCTTCTGACTCGGGTCATTGTTAAATTGAAGACCTTTTACAGAAAAGCTGCTCAGACGTTCAGAGATGACCCCAGCTTCCCTTCTAATGTCACTCTGCAGCATTTTAAAAAAAGACATTGGGATTTGAATCAATTGACACCATTTCACCTGTTGTACTGTTTTACCTCAATGCTTTTATTAAGAAATGGCAAGAAACATTTACTTTCATGATAAAATTTTATATTATCCTAATCAATATTTACCAAAGAGAAACTAACCAAAATAAGATAACTCAGTTATCTAGATGGCTACAAAACTGGAAATTTTAGAATGCCATTAGCTTCATTCATTTATTTTTTTTTTTTCTCCAGGTGAAATTCTATCCTGAATTTAGCCCTCATGAAGTTTGGTGCTGGGTGAGTACCGTAGCTAGGCCTCCTCCCTTTTCTCACGTGTAAAATGAGGTTAGATTAATTGGATTGTTTAGGTTCTTTCGTTGTTGTCACCTTAGTAAACATCTTTTCTTAAATTTCCTCTTCTGACATGTGAGTCACTCCAAACATCTTACATTCCCTAGCAAAGGAGAGGTGCCGGAACGAGGCTAGCAGCAGCAGACCAAATCCAGAAAGAGAATGTGGACTTCTCTGGAGATCAGCATAAACTAAAAATAGATGTGGTTAACCGGGAGCAGGAGTGTGATCCCTACCCGATGCCTGGCAAGGCTTCTCCCGCAACCCCCTGCCTGCCATGTCATCCGCACCTGACTCCTCCTCCCCTGGAGCAAATTCTGGGAGTTTTCGTATGAGCCTGGATGGCTCCTGGTAGTCAGGGCGAAGGGGAAAGATGCGATCATAAGTGGAGTTGGACTCCTGTTCACTCGGCGATGAGGAGCGGTTATTGTTGAACATGCTGGAATCACTTGGCAGGGAAAGGCTGACTGTCATTTCGTCATCCAGCATCCTCCGGGAGGCCTGGAAGAGAAGATCAGGTAGAACGGCACATTGGCACAAAGGGGACCATCACTTCCTCCCCATCCTAAACCTGGCTCTTCCACTCAGATGAAATAACCCTTTACTACTCTTAAAACCCAGAAACACAGCAAGTCACAGGGATGCAGTCTGGTTCCACAAATGCCTGTGATGTGGGAACTTAGAATAATTTAGAATAATCCTTCATTTCTTCAAGACAGAATTTGACCTCCTAATTTCTGTGCTGCCCACACACATTAACATTCTGAAGTGCTTGAAGTACTTATAAGCATTATTTACATGATGCTGTAAGAACCTATCAGTAGCCAAAGATCTTGATCTTACAGAGTTTTCTACGTTCTACTTAATAATAGGTTTTGCTGACTTACCCTTTAACTGCTTTGACTTTATGTAGACATAAATGAAAATGCTCATTAACTCAACAAATGTGCTGTTACGTGATGAATCAATAGTTTGTCTGAGCATGCTGGCACTGTAGGTAAGATATGATAATACCCCCGACCCCACATTTTTACTAATCAAAAATAAAACAGCTACAAAATGGGACAAGAAATCCCTAGGTGTCTGGGGATACCAAAGTGAATTACACCTAATACAGCAAGAGGAACAACAAAACAACTAAATGTTGTGGCATCTGATTCAATACAATCTGCCTGCTCCATCAAGAGGTAAGTGCCAGCATCTAAATGTACGTGAGTATTTGGATTTAAACATGCAAAATGCTCCACTTTAACAAACAATGTGGGTATTCAATGGAGAAACTTAGTTTTGGGCTTTTCCACTAGACTGAAAGGTCCTTTGTGGCTGTGATATCCCCAGTACTGAGCATGCAGCCCAGCACATAGTAGATACTCAATAAACGTGGGTTTAAGCTCTCAAAGAGGGAGTGTTAAGGATACCATCAAAAGTATCCTACAGATAATGCTACAGCCTAAAACTACATTAAGTAGTGTTCTTAGAATGTATGTGTGCTTAAAGATTTTCCACATAAAATTATGTCCCCAGGAAGAAATCCTGAGTGTCATTCCAGAGCACCTTGAGCGCTCTTACTCAGGATATACAAGGCTAGAATGAGTTTCTTGAAAGACCAAGTTAAATATTCAAGGGAAAAATTTTTGCTCTCCCTTTTGCCTGGAGAGTCTCCAATCCAACATGAAGATATTCCAACAGGTCTCAGAAGAAAGACCCAAAGAAGCGTGGTAAATTCTGGCTCAAATAAAGACAAAAAGCTGATAGAGGACACAGACCCTTCTCCCTCAGCTAAAATGTGGTCCTAAAAGACTATTCCAGAAGGACACACATCCACTTTAAGCTATCCAATGAACCTTCAGCCCACCAGCTTCCCCCACCACCCTGGAGTGCCTCACCTACACACCAGTGTGTCCCAGCAGTCTAAACGAGGACAGGTTCTGACATGCTCCCATTGATGCCTCGAAACATACTCATGCCAATAGGTGAGTCTGTGGATTCTGCCTTTTAGTCTAGCCACTATTTATGAATTGAAAGCTTCAATCTAGGTAAGCGTTTTCAGACTGATGGCAGAGGTCCTTGTGGGAAACAAGGAGATTCTGTCTTCTGTGAAATATTCCTGCCTAACAACCTTAAAATGACCATCTCAGGGACCTGAATGTGGAACACGTCAGAAGAAACTGTGGGCTACTCATCTGAGTTACTCCCCTCACTTCTCTGATTTGAGCCCCTTTCTCCCGTCCTAATCCAAAGAGTTCTGGAGATTCAAGCCCATTCTCACGGTGCCCTTCCCCTCCTCTGTAATATACTCTACACAGGCATCAGTCTCCTCTGAGAGACCACCCATAAACACAGAGATCAATTAGGCTATATCTGCCCTCCTGTTCCCTGCCCTCAATAGGCAGCTCAAAGCCCCACAGCTCAGAGTTTCTGTGACCTCTCACAGTCCATGTCTATTGGGTAGAACTCATTGACCATGATCAAAGGCAGAAGGTGTCCATGACCAAAGGCAGAAACACTTACTCATCAGCTGACTCCAAGAGAATCAGACACTTAGCAGCAGTTCCCAGGGAGTTACTATCTGGTCTAAGAAACCAAGAAAAGTCACAGCTACTCCATCTTTGATGGAATATATGTATTTTAGAAGAAAGAAATCAGCATATTTCAATATTAACAATTGGAAAGAACACAGAAGATTGAACACTAGTTGTATGACCTTGAGCACATCACATTTTCTCATCAGAAAAATAGCTCAAATAACTACGCCCATCTCATTATTACTCGATGAGTTTCAAATAATATCATACATGAGAAAAAATTCTTTGTAGAGTATAAAATCTTAGATAAATGTAATAAAAGTTATTCAGATCATTTGTCTTAGACAGAAAGAGTCTCAGGAAGGACTCAGAGGGATATGTAATTGTAACCTTCAAGTTCACAGAAAAATGAGTAGAATTGTGAGAAACTTGGCTTGGATATTAATGAGGCTGGATGTTTTTCTACACAAACACACACTCACACACACACACACACACACACACACACACCCCAAAAACAAAAAAGCAAACAAACAGAAAAAGAAGAGAAGGAACTTCAAAAGCATTTAAATAAATTTTAGCTAGACATTTAGGAGAGTGATTTTCAATCTTGGATATGCATCAAAATCACTGTTAAATTTTTAAAAAAATACAGATGCTTGCACTCCACCCCAAACCCAATGAATCAGAATTTTTTAAGGAAAACATCTGACTTGAGATTCAGTGTATTAGGGAGAGTTTTCTGAGTGTTCTAGGAAGGTTCTAATGTCTCCATTCTAAAAATGAGATAATAGTGTTAGCTAATTCTTTTCTGACTCCTTTCAACAACAATCTCCCCCATTCCTATGCTTCTTAGTAGTCCCTGTTAACTCTAACCCTTTATAAATTCTTGTAATTCGCCTTTCATTCCTGGGGCATTAGTGGCTCAGGAAAGGACAGAGCAGCTTCTTGAGTCCTGCCCATCCGGCACCTCCTCACCTTCTCCAGCATTTTCTGCCAGAACTGCCTCCAGAGGATGATGACAATGATGGCCAGGAGGATGAAGATGATAGCCACCAAGCAGCCAATCAGGATCCTAGTGTTGCTGTCATCGACTTTAAGCATTGGGTCTGTGACCAGGAAGAGAAAGTGGAGAATATAATCATCTCATGGGGCAAGAGAAAGCATGAGGGACTGGACTGGAGGTAGATCCTGTTCCTGGAGGATAATTCCGGAAGATGCTACCTTAATACTTCTGCTTATTCTTGCCCTTGCTACTGTTTTATTATTTATATTTTGTTATATTCTCCAATCCTCCTCCATGGGATAGTAGCCTCCCCTCCCACATGTCTCAGACTAGATAATGAAGAGATTTTCCATTCTTCTCCAAATTTTGTCCCTGTATTAGCATGGCCTGTGTCTCCTAATCACACCTCATGTAAAACAGATGAGGAACTAGTTTCACTCTCTGCATTCTTCGAGACATGCCACGGTAGCTGAGAGTGCTCTTTGGAGACAGTCACACGTTTACCAGATTGCTGGCTGGTATGGCCAGTGACTGTCTGAAGCAATGAATGAACTTTTGCATATTTATCTTCAATTAAAGAGACTGACATTTTGTTTCATAGACTTCCACCCATTCATTGAGATCCCCACTATGAGTCTCACCTAGGAATGTACCTTTCCCTGTTTCTGCTCCAAGTTTCCCAAACTTTCATGGAGCAACTGGGACAACTCCAGACTCTGCCTCAGCTGAAGAATCATGTGAACCAGTAGTGAAGAGAGTGAATTTGAGACCTTAACTTTGAGGTGGACTGTCCTGCCTTTCCAAGGCTACTCTTCATCCAAAGCCACCTGGTGTCAAGCCTCCCACACAGATAGTCCAGCCTTTGCAAATCTCCACCCTTCTTCATCCTCCAGGAGGTCCCTTCAACTTAATTTTTGTAATTAGGAATCACACATACCATAGGTTGTAGGTGCCATAGGAGAGGTGGGCAGGGCTCCAGAGTTGTTGTACATGGCAGCATCTGTTACAAAACAAGGGTGAATCAGAGCTGGGGAGAAGACAAGTAGCTAGAGGTTTTCCTGAAGGCAGGGGGTGACCTAGCACATCGTAAGCTCAATTTAGTGGGTTGCCACCAGCCTTTTTCGAAAATAAAATTATAAATATATTAAACTAAAATCTCATCATTCATCTATATATTATAGTAAGGGCAACTTTTTTCTTGCAAAATTTTTGCTTCTAATATTACATACTAGGGATCACAGTACAAAAAGTTTAAGAAACAGTGGTTCCAGGGTCTGTGACCATACATTACCATAAAGCAAAGGAAGCCAACCTAGAGTAAGCAAAATGTAGAGAGGATATAGTGGGTAAGTGAGCATGGGACAGATAATGCTAAGGTGCTCTTTCCTTCAAGGAAATGAAATTGTTTTATAAAACGGTTTCCACTATGCCTCACTGGCCTAGCCCTTGAATTTATAAATTAAGTCTTCATCTTCAGAGATAGATTATTGACATTGGGGTGCCCTTTGCTATGATGTTGCAGTTTCTGAGGCTAAACCCCAAAACTGTATTTGCCAGTTTATGTTGGTGACTAATTTTTCCCTCTGATGTGTCTAATCAAGGTCAAGAATTAGAATATGGATTTCCCTTCTAAGAGACATTTCTTCCAAAAATCCTAATTTTTCTTCTTCTTAACATTATTACACAAATAGGGAGGTATTTGGCATCTACATGAACTTTCTGAATTGGGTCCTCAGGCTCCAGTGAAAATTAATATTGTCATAACGTTAGATTTAAATCTCAAGAGACCCGAGGAGTCAAAAGTCACAGTCCATAGCTATAATTAGCTATAATAAGATGGAAATCTGTTTGTCTTCCAGTTTACACAGTGTAAGTGGCACTGCTTTGAGCATCTTGATTTCTGTTCTCATTAGATACTTATATAAAATAATAAAGTAGATACTTACATAAAAATACTTTATATACTTATATAAATTAATTACTCCTAGCTTAAAGCATTAGCACAGAAGGCATTTAGGCATCAAAACTGATTTTCTAAAAATATGCTCTATTTTCCTGTCAGTGCATCTTAATCAGCAGACCATCCTGAAATTTTCTCCTTTTAAACATCGAATCAGAAAGGATAGGGTCTTCTTGTTTATTTTTAAGTCAATCTCTCCTCTTCTCTTATGTTATTTACTCCTGAACTTTTTTTCTAGGCCCAGTACAAGTCCCGTTGTATGCTGTCCATGACAAACCCACTCCAGTGCTCCTTTTCTCCTGACAACTTATTGTTGGTACTGCTTCAAACATTTTTTTTGAAAAATCATTATATAGGTCTCATCTCCCCAGCTAAAACTTAATGGTATAAATAGAAGGAATCTTTTGTGTGACTAGTTTTGATTTTGGAAGGTAGTGATGAGAATGGAAATGAATAGAATATTTACTTGACTCTTCTTGCATGGTAAGGAATTTTTAAAAATGAGAGTGCAATGTGTCAAAAACTTCATATAAATTGCATTTTAACTTTTAAAGATTTGATATAGTATCTGGCGCTAGTAAACTCAATCACTATTTTCTGCTTTGTTTTTCAATCACAAATAGTGTTTAGACCTTAAAATGAATCCCTAAAATTTGGGGAAAAAAACTGAATAAAATGAACCTAAATGTTCATCATGTTGTTTGATATACACAGAGAAAAGAATTATCCTACTGTTATTCCAACTGATATTAGAACATAATATTTTAATTGCACATTCTTAGTAGGATGTATTCTCAGGACAAAGAAAAGAGAATTGAAAAGAAATCTTAAAGCTCATTCAATAGTTACGTTACTACTAATAATATCAGTATTGTTATTTTTAACAGTGTGATGAAGCAAATGCTGTTAACATTGTTAGAGAAGGTGATATTTAGCATTAAAAAAAGAGATCCAAGTATGAAATCAAATTTAAGTAAAAACCTTATTATCTTTCATTTGAATTAGAAGTAACAATGTAAACTCATGATTTTTTTTTCCTTTTTAAGTATACACATTTCTTTGCATTTTCCATTGAAAAATCCAAGAAACAATGACAATCTAATAACAATGAGCATTCCTGTTGCCCAATTTGTGGTATCTAAATACCATTTCCCACTAAAAGAAATCAAGATTTCTTCAAGAAATGGTTGATTCCACGTCTGGGGCAGTAAATGCCCAGGATTAGCTTGGAACATCTTTTTCTTTCAGAAAACAAGAAAGTTACCAAAGGCTCATCTGGTCAGATCCAAAGAACAAAGAGGCAGCCTAAAGATGCAGACTCTGGTCAAAGATAGGACAACTTGAGTATCAAAAAGAAGAATAACTGCAATAGAACATTGAATTCGTAAAAAGCATTGAGTGCATAATGATACCAAAAACCCCACCAAGCGTAAAAAACAAAACTCATTAGACATCATTGAAGGTTGCTAGGGCATCAAGGCATCAGTTCGTTACTCTGAAAATTGATAATTAAAGGGAAAAAGTTAGTCATGAAAAGGGAAAAAATTGTCATGTAAAATTGATAGTTAAAGGGAAAAAGTTAGTCAAGAGCCTTCCATTGGCTCTTCTCACGTGAACTGCATTTCAGAGTAAGCAAGTGCATGAAGAATAGTTCTTCTATTCAGATGAAATTCAGCCAAGACAGAAGGAGAAATAAAAGAATTAGAAAACCACCATTTAGCAACCCCTAAGAAAATAAACGATTCAAAAAATGATTGTCAATGGAAGGTAAAGCCTGAGGTAAAAGTTCATGGAAAACATTTGGAACTTTCCTAAAACCAGAAATCCATCGTAGTGTCACTAAAAGTGAAAGGATCCAAGGTGACGTCCCCATGAAGAGGTTCAACATAAAGTATACAACACTATCTATGAAGAATTCTTGACAAAAATAAATATTGAACTTGAGTCAATTTAACCTACAGATGTAACCTCCAGTCAGCAGCAATGACAGAGGACAAAAGCCTGAGTAATATGAAACCATAGAAAGAAGTCAGCTAAACCAGAATTAAATTTTAAAAACAAAGGAAGGAGCTGTTTTGGATTAAAAGAGATATTGAGGAGATAGAACAAAGGAATATACTGAAAGGGCCTTATTTGGATCAAGCTAACTGTAGTAAGTCATTATTAGACAATCAGGGATACTTGAATATGGACAGGCTATTGGGCGATATTAAGGAATTATTTAATAATAAGTGTCATTAGATGTTATAATGGTATCATGCTTACAAAAATGATGCTATTTTCTTAGACACATTCTGAAAATTTTAGTCATGAAATCAAATAATATCTCAGATTTGCTTTAAAATACTACAGCAAAAAAGAAAGGAATAGATGAAACAAGTATGGCAAAATATTAATGGTTAGTAAGGCTGAGTGATGGCTGGAGGCTTATTGTTCTCTTTACTTTTGTGTATATTTAGACATCTTCATTTAAGTATTTTAATAATGCTTACATGTGCTTCCCCTTAACAGCACATGTGTTAACTGCCTTAATTTATATAAAGTTTTTAACACATTGTACTCTCCTTTTAAAAATGTTTTACTATTCAAGACTCAAGTAAATACTTTGTTCACTTCTATTCTCATCCCCATCCCTCCACAACTGAAACTAGTCACGCAAAGGATTCCTTCTCTCCACCAATGAGAAGCCACCTGTACAACCCTGCATCTCTCGGAGACCTGCCAATGAGAAGTTCTGGGCATGGGCCTTCCTCCTTCATCACACTGCTCCCACTTCCCCAAGGGACCCTGAGTTCCCCACCTGATTGGAAGGTGATCTCACTGAACATCATCCAGGTGTCAGCAAAGTGGTATTGGCACTTGATGGCACTGGCCATTCGGTGGTGAAGGGGCACCGTGACAAACCGAGCACTTGGGTTGACGTCATCCAGGACAAGGGGGAAGGAAACAGCATTAGGCTCCCACTCGTTGGCGTCAGAGCGGAAGTAGCACTGTACCTCCTTAAAGATCTTCACGCCTTTGGCAAACATGTTGTTGCAGTGGACCTGGCAGAGGAAGAGGGATGTGAGTGACGGATTGGCACTGCTGAGTTGCATGGGGACACAGTGCCAGCCAATTCAGCAAGATTCCAGACTTGCCTGTTTCTCTAAGCCACCACCCTTGGTGAACAGTTGGCGTTCTACAGTCTTCTGCGTTTTCCCTTCTAGGAACTTCACAGCAGCAGTGATATGTTGATCAGGCCGTATAAAACGTAGGCTGCAACTTTAGTCACCTCCATGCCCTGTCTGCCTCTGGCCACCTCATTTCATGTTGCTGCACAACAGTTTTCTTATCTGTTAGATGAGGGCTGGACCAGCATCCTCTCAGGTCCTTCCTTGCACTGAACTCTCTTTAACATCCTAACTGACATGAGAGTTGTATTTAACTCACTCTAGTTTTGACCCCAGAGCCCCGTGAAGCATATATAAAACCTTACTTGTTGATGTTCTTATCGTTACAATTAATATTGAAAATTTAATTCTAAAAAACATGGATTAAATGAATAGAAGCCAATAAATTTCGTTTTTCTATTTACGTTTACCTTTAAATAACAGTAGAAGTTTTTATTCTATTTTTGTAATAAAACACTGTGGCCCCAAGGAAAAGTTTCTGGCTTTTTTGCATGGCAGTTAATGTGTTAATCTATAATCCTTTCAACTGCAGTGTTGACTACTCAGATTCAAGCTGTTCTGAACTGAGGTAAGAAGAAAACTGCCATCCCCCTTCCTCCTAAGTACATTTCAGGGCCAGTCCGTTTCTTTTCAACAGGGTTAGGTGAAAAACCTGAAATAATATATACCCAAAACAATTTCATCTTTCCTTCATAGCGATCTCAAGTGCCATGTATTAGCCTTTTTCAGCCAGAGACACAGACTTAATCATCTCTTTTAATTAAATTCAGTTGCGGTAAAGCCATCCTGATGAAGCCATCAGATCTTCTGCATAGATATTTCTGACATGAGAAAAGAAATTCTGTTGGAAATTTACATGCATCCTCTTGCTTAATGCCATGACCGTTTTACCAGGATATTTGCAAAGGCTTTTAAGGGTCATCAGGAACAGAGTCCCCCTGTAGTACCTTGCTGTGTTTAATAACCCTCAAAAACAGAATGTGCATATTTGTAACCAACTCAAGTGATCGTTCAGTAACATTTCCTCTGGCTCAGTCCCACGTGGGAAATGGAGCTTTGATGGTCACAATCCTCTGAATTTAAAGACTTCATAGGTTGGAAAAACATCATTGTTGTTCTAGGAATGTATTTCCTGTTTCTGTTTTACTGTATTGCTTAGGCTCTGAGTTGTAACTCTTTACCTGTTTCCCCCCTCTCCACTGGTTTCTGGGTAGTCCATACAGGACTACCATTCAGAGTTTTTTTTTAGCTGAAGAAGCAACAACACTGATTATAGAATTTTAATGACTAAAGAAATAAAGCAGAGATACTCTAAAAATAGAATATTAGAGGAACAAGAGATTGTAAAATTCATCTAGTCCAACTCTCTATTTACTAATGAGGTACTGGTGATCAGAGGTTTGAGTTGGCCTATGGTCAGTCAACAATGGAACTGGGTCTAGAACCCTGGACTCCTAGTCTAGTGCTCTTTCCACATACTATGCCACACAGAAATGGAGCAAAGCATGTTAATTTTTCCATTTGGCTTTTCCTCCAAATGTCTTAATGATGAAAACATGTGTTGTTAATATCTTCCGTGGGATGAATTAACTGTTCCAGTTTATTGAACACAAGTCAATGGAACAAGGCTAAGAAAAAAATCGAAGAAAAACCATGTAGAGTTTCAATAGATTTTTCAGATGTTTTGAAATCTGCAAAGCATTGGATAAGTATCCTGTGGGGAAGGTAATAATCTCTCCCACAGATGTTTTGGGAATTCTCCTAGAATGCAAATAAATAGCATAGGATTTCATTCCCATGTGGATTTACATATTTATTTAATAAATACAACACAGTTTTTAAATGCATTAGCATATCGTAATGGTGTATTCTAACTATACTTCGGTGGAGGAAAATGAAGAGTAATTTGCTTCAGAAGTAAAGAGTACTCTCTGGAAGACACTGGTGCTCTGAAAGTCATTCTTTACTTTCCATTTGTCTCATAAAAATTAAAATATGCTGGAGACTTGTTTGGCCTTGAGAAGACTGGCCATGAGTAAGCTCCTTAGAAGTTTCTGGTACCTTTTCATTGCAGAATGTGCTTTTGAAAGATTTTAACCTGTGATAAACTAGTTGAACAGGAGCTGCTGAGGAATTAGAAAAATCGAAGTCTATTGATTACGTAGTATAACTTTATGGGGAATTTAAAATACATTTCATTGTTTGTGGCACTAGAAATTCTCCCAAAGGTATATAATTGTGAATTTATATACATGCTCACAGGTACATATACACACTGTTCAGAAATACAAATAAATTTTCTCATAAAGCATATTTTTGTTACTATGGATATCCTCCCCCAAAAACCTGTGAAGAATGTGTTACACACACTTATGTTTTACAACTGCCAAAGAGCCACCCTTGGACAATAAATTAGCAGACTGAGCATGTGTTGATCCTTCTGTTCTCATCTTAAATGTTTGTTCATTTAACTCATAGCTATTAATCCAATCAGGAAATATTAGAACATTAACATCTGGGAATAATATAATAGACATGCATTTCTTTTTGATTCCCAGTTTGTATAAAGAATAACAAATTTTGATTTACAAAGAACCCTTAATGATAACACAGATTTCCTTATTCTGTGTCCCACATCATCCTACACACCCCCTTTTGCAAATAAACAGTACCTTCCCCATTGAATTGCAAATTGTCCCAAAGTAGGGACCTTTTCTTATACATCTGCTTATTCCCAGAATCTTGCATAGCACCAAATACTGTTGATAAATTAGTAACACAGATAGATAGAAGAATGGATGAATTTAGGAAACAAACATTGAAACAAGGCCTGAGTGCAAACAGAGGCAGAGTCTCTAATATTTTGGCCACTGATATTTTGCACCCAACTATTAACAGGGATAAAGAACAGATAAACAGGACTCCATGTGTGGGCTCAAATTCACTGGCCCGCTTTCTTTCCTGGGGCTTACATGACACTCCTTTCATGCTCCTTCATAAACCAGTAAGAGCTATATGCGAACCACTTAAGCTCCTGGGGCCTCTTTGTTACAACCAGCAAAAGACTTTTCTGTTTCACCCTTACATCCTAGTTTTCCACAAGCCTAGAATTCAGGTTTAGCATCCAATCTGGTCACTTTTCGTATGGACTTTTCTTCCCCTCCATTCCTTTCTCTCAGAAAAAGACTTGAGATCAAGAAAGGGAAAAGGAAAATAATTGAGCCAGGTACTACAAAACCCATTTTATTAAGAGAGATGTCCTCGCCCTGACGTTAAGGCTGGGCTCTCCTGCACAGGCCTGCTGCAGAGAGAATGAAAATCAGGCCTTAAGTTCCAGACCCCAGATCTTCTCGGGTGTCTGCATTTACCATGGTCCATCACAGGCCCAGCCTCTAGACCTTTCCCAAGCCTCCTGGCCTCCACCACACCCTTCAGTAAAATTCACCTCTTCCCTCCTCACTGCCCTGTGATAATAAGGCAATAAAATAACTTGTGTTATTGCACTAAAGATATTAATTTTTTAATATTTTGCTCTCCCCCAGGTAAAGGGCTTGTATTTTAATATAGACTTTGGATTTGTGTAATTTAGCCTCCCCCCACCCACCAAAAAATCTAATAATTTACATTTTAGGCCTTATAGTAGACTTGGGTTAACCCTGCACCCCAGCCCCTGCTAACTCCTTGGACTGAACGGAGTCACTGAGATATTGTAAAGAAGACAGAACTGATACCCTGAGCTTGAGGTCTAGAATCCTGAAATTGGTCCAGCCAGGAGTAACTGGGGCCTACCTGGCCCCAGACTCTTCTTCAAGTTTCCATTTATAGTTAAGAAAATACAATTTACCAATGTCTTATTCCTGTCTAACATATCTCCTCCTCTTTCTACCCAAGGCAGTAAAGATATTTATGACTAGGAATGGTTAGAGTAGGCAATCAAGGATATCGTTTGTTGATTCATTAACATTTATTAAACTAGCATACGTCAAGTGCCAGGCACTAGGATACAGAGATCAGAAAGCTGAGTCACTACCTTGGAGAAGCTTGAGATCTAATAAGAGAATCAGACACATACATGGATAAATGACAGGAGACATGTGGTAACAGAAAACAAGAAACTCTGGGCACAGAAGAGTATGGAGTTTTCTATTATGATTTCTCAGTGCAGTGAGGGGTGAAAGACACACTCTTGAGGTGGGGAATGGTTGAACTTCTTCTTCCATTGAGAATCAGACTTGCAATGAGCCACTCATACTGATAAGACAGTCACATCCCTGGGAGTGTTGGGCAGGGCCATATAATGACTTTTGCCTAATGGGACACTTCCTCCATATTTTATATATATATTTTTTCTTCTGACATTAAAAAGAAATTAAAACATTTTCATGGGCCTTAAAAGTATTGTGGGCCCTGGACACTGTGCCTACTGTGCCTAATGGTATGTCAGCTCTGGTGTTGGGACAAAAAAAAAAAATTGATAACCCAACTGACCTATTCTAATCTCATTCACAAATGGAAAAACAAAACAAGCCCTTAGAGATGAAGCAACTTGTGCGATGCGTGTAGCTAGCTAGTAGCAGAATATGTATTTGGATGTATTTGCTGGCATCAGGGCTCTTGCTAGCATACCTTTTCTCTACCATGCTATGATTTGAGCGCCTTGGAAAAGTTCCACCACACCTGCTTCCACTGACCTTCATGGTAGTGAAATTCCTGATGCGGTCAAATTCAAACATGATCTCGATGTAGCCATTGGTGGCACTCTCGTTCCGCCAGCCCACGTAGTCGTAGCCGGGCCACACATGGTATTCATGAGTCTGGGTGAAATCGTCCAGGCCAGACACTCCATCTGTCAACTGGCCTAGCCCCTCAGTCATGCTGCTCAGGCCAGGAGAGGAGGAGAAAAAGGAGAGAGGAACCTCAGTTAATCACACACTCGTGCAAGAGCTTTTACCTAGCATCTTCTTATAAGAGATTTTTATCTTAGATTTTATAAGAGCTTATTATCTCAGAATTAAAGGATTATAAATAATCAAATGTATATTATAGTATTGACTCACTTATCTTGCATTATTGGAGAACTAAGAATTTCATATAAATAAATTTTACAAAATACTTGATGCTTACCCTTTTAGTAGCAAAACTTTTAAACAATATCTTATTTCCTATGAAAAGCTTTCTATAATCTATTGTTCTGTACCTATTCTTATATACTGAATATAAGTCCTAATATAATGACTCGATATTATCAAATGCCTTTGATGAATTAATTCATTGAATAAATAAAGGAATGAATAAATGCATAAAATGAATTCTACAGTAAATAGTAGCACTTGCCCCATCACCAAACAAACGTTCTCAGAGCTTGTTGAAAATTTTTCGGACCCCTCTTGACTGCATGTTGTCACTGTTCAGTGAATCAATTTCAGATAAACCAGTCACACACTCTTCTACCCATAGCTCCAACAACTGAATTTGATATCAAACTGGGGGGGGGGATGTAATCCCAAAATTTAAATCTAATTTATATGTGATTTTAATTAAATTTATAGAATACTAGACCATGAAGTAAAATGTATATATTTCATGAGAGTCTCAGGTATTGGATTTAGTTTTGTGTTCTAACTTGGTGGGTTTTTTCTGGTTTTTTTTGTTTTTTTTTACTTCTGAGTGCGAGGCTGTGTTCTGAATGACTGAGTTTGCCAGAAGCCTGACTTGTGAATGGGATGTAAGTATATTTATGTTAATTTGACTATTTGAAGGACATAAACAGGCCTCCTTTCTTCTTTTTGTGCAGGGACAGAGGAAAAACTCACCATGTGGAACGTCTCTCTCCTCAAGCTCTGCATCTCAAGCTCAGGGAGACATGTCAGGGGTCTCCCAGATGAAGAGATTGGGATATTCACTCTCAAGCAATAATAGATGTAACCTTTGAGGTTTACAGCCAAATTAATGACAGATAAAATTTATGAATTGCAAAAAAAGACTAAGAGTAATCATGCCAGCCTGACAGATACATTTTTAAATATATGTATTCATTGAAAAATGTTGGGCAAATTATAAAATTTGACTGGCCTTATCCACAGTGACCAGAGCCTGGATCTCCCTTCCAAGGTTTTGCCATCTTTTTCTTCTCTCTACACATCAGAAGGCTAGGAGAACATAAGTTTACTTGCAAAAAATATATTTCCTATTATCCACAGAAAAATAAATGCCATGAAAGTCTTATGAAAAGCAATACAAATTAAAATGAATGCTTGTTCAATTTTTCCTTGGTTAATATTAAATCAAGTGGAGAAGGGAAAAGAAAGGAAACTTTCCATGCTTACTTTATATACTTCAGAATTATGAGAATTACTATTAATACCACAAGTATATATTACTCTTGAAATCGTTTAATTAACGAAGTCACTTTTGCTACTATGACTACCTATTTCCTGAGACCCTGACTTAGGTAGCTTGGATCTCATCACTCAGCCAGCTCAACCAGATATTTTATTACCTTGATTATTAAGTAGAAGCCCATTGTGTCTAAATTTCTGAAATTATTTTTTATCTTTCCTCTGGAGTCCGGAGCCATATTTCCAGCTACTTTCCTTGTTTCTGTATTTCAATGTCCTGTTGGCCCCTTCAGCTTATATCCTAAACTAAATCCATCACCATCCCCTGCTAAAGTACCTGGTACACAGTAAAGACTCGAAATCTAATTGCTGAATGAATAAATGGCATCCCCACTGTTTCAGTCACTTAGACAGTCAGGCTGCATCTGACTCACTTTCTCACCTTACTACCGTCTTGACTCCTACATCCAATCAGATGGCAAATATCCCCTAACTTATCCTCATTCCCATTCCCACAATCATAATTATGGCCTTGGTCATTAATTCTTTTCACCCGACAAAATTTGGAATTAAAAAATATCCCTTATTACCTCCTCATTCCACTCAAATCTAACCTTTCCATACTGCTTGATTAATCTGTCTGAAGTACAGCTCCAATCATATCCTGTCCTAGCTTTCAAAATCTTCAATGACTCCTTATGTCAATGATAATGTTCATGAACAACTGCTCTCCCTTCTCCTCCTCTTCTTGTTCCTCCCGGCCTTGATTTCAAGTTCCTCCAAAATATGGCATAATCTTCCTTGTTATGTTTCTCATCTACTTCTTTGCTACATAAATATGGACTGTGGTTAACTAAACTGTTAATTTTTCCCAGACATTCCCCTAAACTTTACAGACATGGTGCGTTTTTTCCTCGTGCTATTCCCTCTGCCTAAAAATTTCATTTCAACATCCTCTACCTGTGAAAGTTCTACCCATTCTTTGGGGCTCAATTCAGATTTCATCTATTCTCTCATGTCTTTACTGATCCTCTAATCAGGTAATAACTTACATGTGTATAGTATTTTACCTTTACAAAATACTTTTCTTATACATTTTCAATCCCTTAAGCCTCATAGCAAACAGAAGTAACTTTTATTACATGAATCCAGGTGTTTTCACTCCCGAACTTGTGCTTTCCTGCTGCAGTTTTCTATTTCCTCTGACTCCAGAGCAAACATAGGCTATCTCCTACTGCTATCCTTGTGTGGTAGTAATGTATACCCTGTTTTAACTGCATTCCAAATTGTGAGCTCCTCAAAGGTAAAATCAATGCCTTCATTATCTTTGAACGTCTACCACGCCTAGCCAAATTCCTTGCAGCAGCAGTTAACAAAGATTTATTAAACTAAATGGAATTCAATTAATCTCTGCCTGCTGGGGTGTGGCTGAGTGAAAGAATGCCAAGAGAGTTTAAGCAAATGGGGAAGAACCGTGACTAAAGAGATGGAAAGGAAATGACTAGGAGCAGAAGACTGGATGACTCAGGCCTTCATCCAGGGGATAGCAGCGGAGTGTAACGTTTTATTCTCCACACCTAAGCCAATGGAAGGCTGCAATTCCACACTCTCCCTCCTGATAATGTCTTCCTCTCTTAACCACTATCAACTTCCATCATCTGGTCTGGACTTTACTATGGTCTGACCATTCTCCCAGGGTCAATCTTTGCAGATAAAGACCAGGCTAGGAGAGAAAACTATTGGAGTGGGCTAGACGAATAATAGTGAAGTGGGATAGGTAGGACCATCTTTCATCCAACCTTAAATTCCTCCTATATCTGATGGTACTTCTCCGCCACTGCCCTCCATTGATCTATGCCAGGCCTATTCACTGGTCTGTTCTGCTGTTCTCAGCTCCAGCTTCTGCTAGAGACAGGCCATCCCTGTCCTCAGCTCTGCTTCCTTCCCTCTGCTCTCTTTTACCTACCTTCCTCCGCTCCAGTCTTCATCTCATCCTGGAAACTTTCCTTGTCTATCATAAGCCTTAACAGTCTCCCTCTTTTCACAATTTCTAAAGCTTTTATATTTATGGAGTCCATTCTTCCTAAACTTCTTGACCTGCCCAATTTATTATACTTATTACTTCAATTCTCTGGCCCTACCTTTCCATAAGTAGACCAATATTTGTGTCAGACCATATGCCCTGCTTAAAGGGTCAAAAATATGGCTACCATACTTAGAGCTATACCCTTAGCCTTTGCTTTGTGTAATTTATTGTTGTTTTCTGTGTAATTACCTTTTCTTCCCAAACTAGGCTTTAATTTCCTTGGAAATAAAGATCATGTATGCCCCTTCATCTAAGTTATCTCAAAATGCCTAGGACAAGGACTAAATAAATACTAGTTAGTTGATTGATTGATTATTGCTCCCAAGCCATGATAAAATCTTATTCTTTCTTAATGGCCATTTTCCCATTCTGATAATCAAAGTTTCTCAGAATTTACCTGTACCCAACAGCTCCATCGTAGACAGAATCATTCAGATAAATGATGGAGCCTCCAGGGAGTACAAACTGCTGCCCAGCAGGAGCATTATAAGACACCAAGCCATCTGCCAAAGGAAACACAGTTGTGTCAGTGCCTTTGGGGAAAAGGTGCCTGCTGCTCAGACCAATGGGTGCTATGTGAAGTTTCAAGGGAGCAAACTTGCACAGCATGTCCACCAGGACTCAATCTGAGCACATAGGGAGCACTAGTGGGGAGCATTACTCAGTGGCAGTCAGCAGAGTGACTCTAAATGCATTATTCCAGGTGTGGGGCATCAAGCCATGGGTTAATGAGCAATGCTCCTTTCTCTGCTCTACCCAAGAGGGAATCACTTCATTCCAGAGGCAACTAATCCCATCCCTTTCTGATTTGATTGTCTTTATGTTCCAGGAATTGCGGTTTTTAATAAGGTCTTTAAGCTTCCCATGCTATAGACCTACCTAGCCAGACACAGCCATAAAGCTCCACCCTCATGCATACATTCATGGAGTGGTCAGTGACTGGAATGAACCGGACAAATCTGGCCACGATGGGTGGTTCCAAGTCCTTTAGGAAAATGTCATAGGGGTTACTGTTTCCATCCAGCACCTGAGGAGAGAGGAGAGAAAGTGAAGAGATGGTATTAAATCATCCTCCTCACTTTTCTTCACCCTTCATCACCCTTTTAATGGACCCTCTCCTTTTAATTCAAGGAGCAGAAAGTATCCACTCAGCTTTCCCAGCAGCCTTGATAATCCTCTCTGTGCCCCCTTCCCACCCTCCCTCACCCCGGGCTGCACATTGACAAGGGCATGCCGGGTCTGTGGACACACCAATCTATACAGACAACTTGTACTCTTCCTCTTCTAGCCTAAGTCAAAATACGTTCTCGGACATCCCAGGGTCTGGACGTTTCTTCTTTCTACCTGTTTCCCATGCCGGTTCCGCCAAGAGATCCAGCGAGTGCCATCCCGACTGTAATTGATCTTGTACATAGGGGCAAACTCAATGCCATGACCCCCTGCATGGCGCCCCTGGGTCCCCACCAGAGTTATAAAATGTAGGGTGTGCAAGTCAATCTGCAGAAATTCCTTCAGGTCATCGGGTTCCACTGGAATCTCAGGGCACCAGGCTCCATCCCCTTCTTCTGAGTCCAGCCTTGAGAGGTGAGGGTTGGGGAGAGAGGGAGAAACCATGAAACCACAGAGTTGTTTACCAGTTCACAGCAAGCAGCTGCCTGGTACTGTGGGGAGAGAGCAGGCTGGGAGCCCAACCCAGATAAACTTTTTGGGTTTTCCCCACAGGTCTGACTGCCACCACAGTGCCCATTTGTGGTCAGGTCCCTCTCCCCAGAGAACCATGAAACTCAAAGAGACAGTCACCACCAGCGAGATGGAGGCCTTCAGATCACATGTCACCTTTATTTCCCATCCTGATTTCGAGACCTTAAGGGAAAGAAAATCCTTCTTACCCTCTGTTCCCCTTTGGAGTCATTTCACATCCCCTCCCACTTTCAGACTCAGCTTAACAAAGCTAGCCACTTCTTGCTTGGATCTCCAGCAGTGGGAGTGGGGAGGGAAGAAGGGTAGGCTCTCCAGCGAGGCAGGATGGGCACAGCAGCCCAGCAAGCAGCCACGGAAGGGTGAGGTGAGGGCAAGGGTAAGAGCAACTCAGGGGAGTAGTAAATAATCTGGTTTCATTTTATTACCTCCAGGCCCAGGCTACCACTGAGCAAAATTGTGAAATCATTATAAGGTTTATTCTGAGAACCTCTTACCACTTTCCCTCTCCCTGGAATGCTCCCTTTTCTCCCAGATGCTACCCACACCTCTGTTGCTCCTTTCCAACCCCACCAACCATCAGTGCTTTACAGTGAGTGAGGTTTCACAGACATCCACTGAGAAGAGGCACGGACATTAACTCCCAGCCTCCTACATAACCTGCCCCTTCCCATAGCTGCCATTTTGGCCCACCTCCTAAAGCAGCTCGTGGTGAGAAGTCAGCTAAAGCACATCCACTGCATATCAATGAACCCATTCGCTGTGTGTGGTGTGGCTCTGGGGCCTCTGTGGTTGGAATGGGGTTGCAAGACCAGCACATGTGGTCAAACCCTGAATGCTCTCCCTGAAAACATACAGAGCAGGGCAGGCCCACTTGATGTCCTCCCTGCACTCTCACCAGCTCCTGCCAGTACCACCCCTCTGTGCCAGGGCTCTGTGTCTAGGAAATCTGTCCAACCCAGAACTCAGGCTTTCTTGAAGCGGCCATCCTCACCTTCCATACTTGGCAGCTGTAGACTCTGACCACTGACTGGAAGCTGTGATGTCCTCATCTGGAATGTGGCCTCCTGACATGCCCAGAGGATAGCGGCATATAGCTGGACCAGGAGAAACCAAAGAGAAAAGAGAGCACATGGTTTTACTTTGATTTCCAGAGCCCCTAGGAAGCATATCACTGATTATTGAACAGAGAATAAGAGAATTTAAATCTTCCTAAGTCCCTCTATGACCCCAGTTTGACCGCCCTGATTGCACCAGACTTGTCTTCCTGGCCCTCACTCCAAATACAATTGGGGCCTCCAAGACCGGACCCTGAGCCAAACCTGTCTTTTTGTCCAAACTCTAACAAGTAATGTGATATAATGTAGTACGCTGATTTATGCTTGGTGTTTGGTATAACCCCAGTGGCCCATCCCCATTCTCTTATTAGCAGATGTGCACTTCTAATCAATTTCCCAATAGTAATGAGTCATCTTTGCAATCACCAGGTACCCTTATGATCCATAGAATTATTTTGTTAGGTAGCTAATTACATGAAACTACAAAGTAAGCCAATAAACTCTCCTGTATGAGAGTTATAGTATGATGAACATACTATTTTGGCCCCGATTAGCACCATGTTCTGGCTAAAAATAATAACTTCTGAGTATAGACTTCCATTTTCAACCAAAGACAGAGTTACAGGGACCAGATTTGCCCCCCTGTGTTAAACAACCAAAAAGGACAAAATATATAAAAATTTAGGTTTTAAGATGAACATCAGACAACAAAGGACAGCAACCTCTGAGAGTCAGGAAACAAAGATGAGCCCTACAGTTGCACCAGCTTACTGCCATGAGAATGTGTCTAGGCTACAGCACTGTAAATGAGAACTCTGGCAGAGCCTGGAGAATTTCCTGAGATAAGGAGACAAAGATAAATGTCCAGAGAGGCCAAGGGGGCTAGACTTCTCAGGCCATTGAGCTGTCAGATAGAATTCACTATACCTAGTTAAATTTTAATTTCAGATAAACAACAAAAAAAAATTTAGTATACGTATGTCCCATGCAATAAAAAATGACCAGATATGTAAAGAAGCAAGAAAATAGAATCCATTGTGAGAAGAAAACAAAAGTGAAACCAATTCAGAACTGATTGCATTTCAAAATCCCAATGCCATTTGTTACAGAAATTTAAAAACAATTTTAAAATTCATACGAAATCACAAAAATCCCCAAATAGCCAAAGCAATTTTGAAAAGAAGAACAAAGTTGGACATATCACACTTCCAGATTAAAATATATTACAAAGCCACTTTAAACAGTGTGGTATTTGAATAAAAACAGACATATAGACCAATGGAACAGACTAGAGAGCCCAGAAATGACTCACACATGTAAGGTCAACTGATCTTCGTCAAGAGTTCCAAAAACACGCAATGGGTAAATAGTAGTCTTGTCAACAAATGGTGCTGGGAAAACTGGATAGCCACATATGAAAGAATAAAATTAGACTCTTATCACACATCATACACAAAATTCACTCAAAATAAATTAAAGATTTAAACATAAAGCCTAAAACTATAAAACTCCTGGAAGAAAACATAGGGGAAAATCTTAACAGCATTGGTCTAGGCAAGTTACTTCTTGGATATGACACCAATAGCACAAACAACAATAGGTGGAACTACATTAAACTAAAAAACTTCTGCATAACAGAGGAAACAATGAACAAAGTGAAAAGACAACCTCAGAAATGGGAAAAAATATTTGCAAACCATATATTTGATAAGGGGTTAATATCCAAAATATATAAGGAACTCATACGACTCAGTAGGGAAAAAAGATAACCTGATTTAAAAATAGGCAAAGAACTTGAATAGACATTTCTTCAAAGAAGACATAAAAATGGCCAACAGTTACATGAAAAGATGCTCAACATCAGTCATCGTTAGAGAAATGCAAATCAAACCACAATGAGATAGCACCTCACACCTGTCAGGATGGCTGCTATCAACAAAAACAAAAGATAGCAAATGTCAGTGAGAATGTAGAGAAACTGGAACTCTTGTACACTGTTGGTGGGAATGTCAAATGATGCAGCTGCTCTGGAAAGCAGTATGGGAGTTCTTCAAAATGTTAAAAATAGAACTACCATATGATCCAGAAATCCCACTTCTGGGTTTAGACCCAAAAGAATCTACATCAGGATCTCAAAGCAATGTCTCCATTCCTATGTTCACTGCAGCACGATTCCCAAGAACCGAGACATAGGAACAACCCAAATGTCCATGGGCAGATGAATAGATAAAGAACATGTGGGATACACATACAATGGAATATTACTCAGTATTACAACAGAAGGAAATTCTACCATTGCAACAACATAGATGATCCTGGAGGATATTATGCTAAGTGAAATAAGCCAGTCATGAACAGACAAATACTGCGTAATTCCATTTATACGAGGTATCTAAAATAGCCAAATTCATAGAAATAGAAAGTAGAAGGATAGTTGCCAGGTACTGGGAGGAGGGAGAAATGGGGAGTTCCTGTTCGAAGGATATAAATTCCAGTCATACAAGATGAGTAAGTTCTAGAGATCTGCTGTACAACACTGTGCCTATAATTAACAATACCATATATTACGCTTAAAAATTTGTTAAGACTGCAGGTCTCACATTAAGTGTTCTGGTAATAATAACAACAATAATAATAAAGAACTGATTACATTTTGCATCCTACTCATTTCACTTGCCTTACCCTACACCCAGCCCTGCTATTCAGTAACAAAAAGGAATGAGTTTTTGATGCATGCTACAATATGGATAAATTTTAAAACAATTATGCTGAGTGAAAGAAGTCAGACAAAAAGACTGCATATCTTATGCTTCTATTTATATATAACTCTAGAAAATGCAAACAAGTCAATCTATAGTGACAGCAAGCAGATCAGTGGTTTCCCAGGGGAGGGAGGAGTGGCCAGAGGAATTACAAAGGGACACAAAGAAATATTTAGCAGTGATGGATATGCTCATCATCCTGACAATGGTGATGATTTCACGGGTTTATACATATATCAAAACTGATCAAGTTGCACATTTTTAATGTGTGTAGCTTATTGTATGTCAATTATATTTCAATAAAACTATTTTTAAAATAGTCATCTCTGGAGCAAAATAATGCATTGAGATTTTGATTTGTATATTTACACTCTCCTTTCCAAGGCAGGTAGCCAGGCCGTCATGATTCTTCACCCCACAAAAGATTTATGTTTACAGGACAGAAATAAGAAACTGCTAGAAGACAAAGAGCTTCCTAGACAGCCTGACTCATTAAGGGATGGTAGGGTGGAGTAGAGGTGGCAAGGAGAAGGGTGTGACTTCCCTAGGCTTGGAAGGGGACACAGGTAGGCAAATTACAGTACTAATTAAGTACCAAGCCCCATTTCCTGGAAGTGCTCTGGAGAGGTGGTGAACATCAGGGGAACAGATTTCATGTGAGCAACGTAATGCCCAGGCTTGGCACAGACGCAGCAGAACTGCTGTCCTTAAGGAACATAATGGGCTCAGAGAATGAAGACATATACTGCAGCCATGATGAACTGAAGGCAAGAGGGACCTTCTGCCTGTGTCATACCAAGTAAAGCTCCCAGATTCTTATCTGACCCCAGGAAAGGGAAGGATGGTTCTGGGCCCAGGACTAGCTGATATTTCCAGAAACCGTGGTTAAGCAAAATCAGATGCAGGCAGCTTTGGCAAGAAACATGACCATACGCCCAACTAGAACACTTCTATGTTCACTATCTACTACATTTTCCAGGTCAGATTTTACTCAAGAAACGAACACGGGAAGCTAGTATCATTTTGCCTATTCTTACCAAAAGTATAATTTCTCCATCCGAGGTGATGTGTTTCACAGATAATCCCTATGCTCAAATCTTAAGGGCAAACCTGAACTCTTTTGGAATGAAGCAACAATTTCTCAAATTCCATTCTCTGAGAAGTGAAATTGAAGGGAAGAGTAAGGATGAGGAAATGCTAATATGGGATGCCAACGGAGCCAGCATTATTAACGGGTGAGGTCGATGTGCATTTTAAAAATCACACACAGAAAATGGCTCTCTCAAGGGCCTGCTCTGACCGCTCCTCAATGTCGATCCTACACATTACTAAGCATGCTAAGTGTTTTAATCCTTGGCACCAGTGACTTGATGAGCAAGGAGAGGCCTCCGGAGACCTTTAATCTGGGCTACGTGCCCCAGTTCAGTTTACCAGAGCACTTGCTTTGGCATTTGGGACCCAAGCCCAGCTGCTAATAACATAGAACTTTGCTTTCTCTTTGTCACTGTCCCCTGTGTGTGTATCTCCCTCAGGGACCTCCTGGGGAGGAGGCCTGGCTGTGTAAGGCAGGCACTCCTGGCTCCTGTGGCTATAATCCATGTCACACAGTGCTCCCAACTGCCATCTTGACCCTAAAAATAGAGTTCTTAACAAGTTGCAAAGGGCCATTCCATTGCTTAACTTTTTTCTCACCCTTACAATAGCCTTGCATGCCAGGCAGGGCACACACTATTATTCTCAAAATACGTGCAGGTTTGCACCCCAAATCTGAAAGTCCAAAATCAAAAATGATCCAAACATCCAAAACTTCTTGAGCACCGACATGATGCTCAAAGGAAATGCTCATTGGAGCATTTCAGATTTCAGATTTTCCGATCTTGGATGCTCAGCTGGGTAAGCATATACATAACGCAAATATTCCAAAATCCAAAAACCTCTGAAATCCAAAACACTTCTGGTCCCAAGCATTTGGAATAAGGGATCCGCAACCTGTATGAGGACAACAGCCAAAGGCCCACAGCTATTATTAAGCAGTAGGGATTTGACCCAGATCGTATTTGTATCCCAATCCAGTTTGTCACAATACACCAGAATGTCCCCTCTGCTTTAACCAAGAGTGCCCCGCTGCAAGCTGTGCCTTCCGAGATGCCAGGCTGCCGGAGAAGTGCTGCAGATTAGCAAGAGCTGCTCTCCAGCACATCCTGTTCTGAAACTAAAGCTTTGTTCAGAGTCCAGTCCTGTCTCCAACTCCACCATTGCTTTCCAAACCACAGTTTA